ACCGGAACCTCTGGGTTCCAGGAACCGTTTTTCATAAAAATAGCGTTTTTTAGCCATAGATGCTATCGCCTTCAATTAAAAAATTTGAAAAAATTCAAGGTTATGTATTTTGACCTGAAAAACAAGAAAAAAATTTTTCCAGATTTTTTAAAGCTTCATATCGCCCTAAAAAAATTATTTTCGTAAAAAAAGGGCGTTTTTCGGCTAAAAACCGCCAGCGCTCTGTCTGAAAAAATCTGAAAAAATTTGAGGTTATGTATTTTGATGTCAAAAATAAGTGGAAAAAAAGATCGGGCTTTGTATTGCATCGTAGCGCCGTATATGAATTTTCAAAATTTTCAATAATTTTTTCTGAAGGCCTGAAGCACTCAAAAAATCTGAAAAAATTCAAGGTTGTTTGGATTGTTGAAAAGTATTTTTATGAATTTTTTCAGATTTTTTAATTACTTGATGTCCTCAGAAAAAATAGAGATCGAAAATGGACGTTTATACCGGAAGTGGGGGGTAGGAGGGGGGAGGGGGTCTCAAATTTTGTTTTTGGGGCCTTTTTACTATGTACTATAACATACCAAAAGCGCGTCAAGATCGGTGACATACGAGCGCAGGTTTATTTAAAAAGTTCTGAGCCTTACCCATATGTATTTGGATAATTCGAAAATATTATTAAATTTTTGTTAAATAAAGTATTTCAAACTGTTATAAATTAGACAATTTGATATGTCATTGATTAATATTGTGGTTCTTCTTTATTCCTAAGTCTTCAGAATCGCATTTAAATCTTTCTGATTTTATAGTACGAAATATATGAATAAATAAACATATAACCATATTTCGCTCAGCTTTAGCAACAAATGTTGCCACTAGTTATATTTGCCACGAATAAGTGGCTACAATTGGAGGAAGCGGCGAAATGTGGAAAAAGATTGCCGTGCACATGCCGTTGAACATACATAAGGTATAGCGTGTGGACGCTGCGCCGCGATATTACGTGAATGACATATAGCCAGCAGTAGCCAGCTCGCGCGCAGTTGTGCAACGGCGTCCAGAAAAAGAGAAATTGAAACACGAGCATTATTCGGACTAATTTACAAGTGCTATTCGTAACGAATGGTCCCACCTACTTACAACCGATAACTCTTTCTCAAAATCACCCGATGAGTACAACGAATGAAAATTGATATTTGTGATACGTTATAGTTCAAGTTTTGGTGGATTCTGTCCTGTTTTGCGTATGGCAAGGAAACGCGCTCTTGATTAACTAAGAAGTGTGTCGGCCATTCCGCCTTTCGCTCTCGTTTTCACGCTCGGTAGTCCATTATATATAGATGCTTTGGATGCACGTGCAATGTCGACGCCATGGCGTATTTCTTGCATTATATGGAAAAGCGCATACCGGAAACTCGATAATATTCGCTTCTCTTCATGGCTAACTCAATGGAGTGCACAATATGTACGTATGTGGATAATACATACATTATATACACACGCATTGCGATTCTCGATCCGCCGGATATGCAACACGATTACTGCTTTTCTTGTTTTGTCTTGCAATGCCATTTTGTTGTTGTTGTTTTTTTGTTAGCATTTTTCAGTAAATATACGGCAGAGAAAACACGAGGCTCGTGTATACTCGTGAGCGAGAGCACAGGACGCGCTACGTAGCGCTATCTATCGCGATATCTCGTGTGCTCCTCTTCGCGCTGATAACAAAAGTGAAGCATTATTTTTTTGCTGGTAGATAAAAATGTATTACATTACCCTGACTCGATGCAGTTTCAGTTGACGCGAATGTTGCTGAATTACCAAGTTCATTTTATGAGAAAGCCGTTGTAAATTAATACAAGCGTCGAGTATTTACTGCAATTCGTCAAATTTGCGTGTCATTTCGATTGCTCGCGTAGATTTTTATTTTTTTCAACGAAGTTTGATTCGATAAGCGTTTAATATGCCACTACGAGAAAATTGTGTTCGCTCGGCTTCGCGCATATATATAATGCTCTTATATGCAAATCTGCGAGTGATTACAGCACTTGGCAATTTGCTCCACCTTTCTTGCAAGCGTTCTTTTTTTTCTCGTAGCATATAAAGAACAGCAAGACGACAGAGGTGAGAGGCATATTTTTAAGTGCATAAATGCACTCCGCACGCACGCCGTCTTTCCGCACGCGTACAAGAAATAACGCACTTCCAAAGAAGATATTCTCCGCTTGCGTGACGATTGTCACTGCAGAAAAAAAATATTTTTTCTCATGAACGCTGTTTAAAATATATATTTTTTTTTTATGAACTGAAGAATATTACGAAACTCCATACGATCACCATTGCTTGTAGCAAGTAGCCTATAATGATTAATATTGTTCGACTAATGCAATGAGTATGCAAAGAACTCACTTGTTGCAGCTACTTTGCAGTACAAATCCACATGAAAAAAGAACGAAAGAAGTTAATATTAACTCGTTCACTATTTTTAAGTTGGAAAAAAATTATTGTGTAATTTTGAACAATAATTAAATGTTAACGTAGAGAAAATATACGTATGTCAATGTTTGAAGACCTCTTTTTAAACCTTTTTAAATAATACGTCCATGTGTTTTCTGTATTTTTCAAGGTCGTTCTTATTACACACACACACACTTATCGTATGGAAATTTTTCATACAAAGCTTACTTGCTTTCTCTATAAAAATATTTGCAGGATTTAAAATTATAAAATATATTTTTAGATTATAATATATTGATTTTAAATTATAATTTGTGAAGTACGCGATGAATTGACTTTTCCATTCGAGATGGAATAAAGTAATTATATTTACGAAGCCACAAATGCGTTTGACAGCAGAGTTAATTGTGTAGCATCTACTGTAGGCATATGGGGTGTCTGTAAGTAACAAGACTGCTTCTCTTCCCTCGAAGATTTTTATTCTACAAAGATTTCTTTTACAAAATAAGGATGTATTTGTCATTTGCACTTGAGCCATTGTAAAGCTCGATGAAGCAGCTGAACGAAAAAGATAGCGAAGCGCATTGTCGGTTGATCATCTTTTCATAATTTATTAAATGTACGCAGACAGCTCATGCGCCGTGAGTAACATTTACCGTTACCAAATCCCACGCAGACTTAACAAGAAAGGATCCAAACAAATGCAAGACATCATTTCTGACACTAATTTTTATGAGATGCTCATAAACAAGAGGAATATCATGCGCGCTTATCTGCTCGGTGTGATTTCTACAACCCGCTGTAATCGCGATGCACACATTATATTGTTTCCTAAGCCAAAGTAGTGCCAAGTCGTTGCACTCCTTCCCTGCCAAGAGTCTACCCATGCCAAATCATTTTAATTGTCTTGCTGATTATTAATCGCGACGTCGGCACAAGATTTAGCTCATTGTGCATCTACACAATAAGTGTAACGGAGCAACAGAGAACACGCCTCATGGCACTAGGTATATAATATAGCCATTAGTCGATATTCATATAACTACGTGCGAAAAACCTGAAATGTAGATCGTAAGCTTGGTACTACGTCCGTTAAGCATATGCATTGGTTGTGTACTTTAATAGATGTTATTATGGTCTCGCATAATCAGGAATATATACGTGAAACTACCTTGATTTAGAACTTGGTAGCTCGTGCAAAAATCGAGTGCGTCACGTATTTGTAGTAAAAAGGTGCATTTGGTTCAAATGTAGGCCGTATTAAGATTAGCTCGTCCTAGATTACTAGTTCACGTTTCGTGACCAGGTCGCACAAGCTCGAAAACTCGAGCAATTCTAACCCACAACAACTTCTGCGTATGCATACCGAACGATGAATATAATAATCATGCATAACCAGAGACTATAAAGATTGAAACACCTGACCAAGAACTACGAGAATCGAGAAGTTTCGCGTAAAGCCTTTCCGGTCAGTCTAAACGTATTCGTGATCGAATGAGAATACCTAAAATGCTTACAATTTATTCGAGCTCGCTGCAGTTATAACTTTGAAACGGATAATACAATAGAAAGGTTGTTCGGGGAACCTCTGCGTAGGATATTGTGCTTATGTGCGCGGGTGCCGCAGATGCCCAGAGATCGTCGCTTCCCCTGTTCTCCGCTCACACATACGCACACACATACATACTTACATTACATAAAACATGCATGTATAGGCGCCTTCACAGAAAGACTCGTGAAGATTCGCCCGCGTTAACTACTTGTTTGTATATTTCGCGCGCTCGTTTTCTATAAGGCCCAAGGGAGCGAGATAGGGAAGAAGCGTTCACACGATTACGCTGCACCTCTCCTCGCCGCTCTTTATTCATGTACGTCCCGTATGTGTGTCTGTGTGCGTGTATATGCGTCCGTGAGTGTACTCGAACGGGTTAAATAGGGAAAAAGCCGCATACAAGTAGTAGCACCTTGATGTTTGTACGTCGCGTCCCATACGAGGCGAGGAGGTGTAGGATATACAACGTTGCTCAACCGAGCGTGTCGATCGTGGGTCCCATTCGCTCATAATGCAGCGCTGCGCGAGAATCGCGAGCCCTTTTCTCGTTGGGCGGAAAAAATTACCCGGCAATATGAAAGAAACTTTGTTGGACGTCGCGTCTTTGAAGCGCCTGCTCGATTTTTTATATCTCATGTACACCTTTTATTATTAATGCACATAGCTGTTTCCGCTCAATATGGTAACTGCTTTTGTGCTGCGCTCAGGATTCTGTGCTTGTGAAATGATCATTTTAGTTCAATTTATCTTTCCCTATATTTAGTACTATTAGGCCTACTGATTTAAAATGTAAATGGAATCTCCTTAATATATTCCTAGAATTCCTCTCGATTGAAAAATTATTTAAACTATAAGCTCTTTTTATTTGGAACATTTTCGGTTCCTACAAATGTATTTTTATTATACATAAATCATGCAAAAGCTGTTGTTAAATACGATTTCTACTTACAATATAGATTTTTTTACTTTATGTCTTCTTACTATAATCATATCTTTTTTATTTTTACAGAAACTCTGCAGGAGCCACGATTTAGTATGCAACCCTCAAGCAGCGGTGGTCTTCTTAGCGAAAACAGGACTAAAATTTTTCAGTGCCAAGCTGGAGGTAAGATTACTTCAATTCGTCATTTATTCATTTAGTACAGTACTCTACATATTCTTACACAAGAACCCTTACGCTAAACTATGATTTTTATATGAAACAAAAACTTTCTCTGCGCTGATTAAAGTTGAATCCTACTTTTGTTGTACTTATACACGTGGTGAAAAAAATCACTTCGTCAGCAGGTCGCGAGCATAAATGTAAAACAAAAGTATACGAAGAAAGAAGAATGAGAGGGAAAAAGAAGAAGCGTTACAGACCAAAGCCAAGCATGGCCAATCGATGGAACATATAACTTGTGCATATAGTATATGCGTACATCAGAAAGAAAGAGAGAGAACGAGAGAGAGAGGGAGAAGGGAGAAACAAGAAATATATAAGCAACAAAGCAACGGCAAAGACGGCGAAGCCCGTAAGCTGCTCTACCTCCGCTCGCTCGGCACTTGGCCCTTTCTCTCTCCCTCCGTCTCTCGCCGGCTTTGCCGTTCACTTTTGTAACGTGACGCGCTGCGCGACATACGCTACGTTTGGCTTGACCCCTAGCTCCTATATATACGTAAGCCATACAGCCATGCGCGTTTAAACTTTAAATAACACCGATCAAAATGCGATCTCAACTTGTACTTGTACGTAAATGAGAATAGTCCCTATACCTGTACCAGGTTTTAGCCCTTTTTAGCTAATCCGCACTTTCGCATGCTTCGAAAGTTTCATCAATGTTCAAAACACCTCTAACAACAGTCGAGATGCGATAGATTTTGCTGTTAAAATTTTGCTGCGCGAATTTTTCCAATCATAACATTTTCCATAAGCTGTATTCCATAAAATAAAGCGCTTTTGTATTTTCACACCCTCCAGACGTACTAAAAATATATTTTATTTACCAAGTTTTATATCGTTTAGCAAATAACATTTCGCGTATTGAACAGCATCGTTATTCATTCCTAACAGCGGAAGTCACGTGTAAGTCCTAAGAAACGTGTAAAGAAAACGATTTCAGAGAAAGAAAAATCGTAAAAAACATTCAAATCCAAAAATAAAGACCTCTCACTCGTCCAGAAGTGTTCTTTATAATTCATAAAACGTGTCCGCGATAAAACAACGATTCACATATATTCGAGCAAAAATATTGCTACACAATTAAACACACAATTATTAATGAAAAGCTTGTTTCCAAAAATAAAACTAAGCGCCGAACGATGCTATTTTGTATTCGCAGGAAACCCTCAGCCAAAGTACAGGTGGTTCAAAGATGGACAGCCCCTCACGAGCGAACTTACGTCCGAGTATTTCTACCGGCTGCACAACACACGACGGGATGACTCGGGCATATACTATTGCGTTGCAACCAACCAAGTCGGCTCGATTTTCAGCGAAAGAATATCCTTCTCCGTTGTTTGTAAGTTTACCTCGTATACGCGTATAATAATACAATACGTGCTTGGCTCCTTCGGACCAGTTTGCGATGATTATAAACCCGTTGAATCTTACAGACATGGGGGAATTCGAGGATCTGTCGGAACGCATCGTGAAGGTGCAATCGGGCGACGCGGCCGTCTTGGAAATGCCGAAGATCGAGAGCCATCCGGCGCCCGACGTCATCTGGACGACTACGGACGGCACCATCCCCTACATCATCAAGTACGCCACCGTCAACCAGAAGCTCATCATTCTGAACGCGGTAGCTCACGACGAGGGCCACTACAGGGCGCGAGCCCACAACACGCAGCTCGGCAAGGAGGTCAACGGCCCGTTCTTCAGGCTCGAGGTGACGGGCGACTCGAACAGTGAAGTGGCTCCGTCGATCGTCGTCAAGCCGGAGGACACGAAGATCATCAAGGACCAGGGTAGCGCCTACTTGCACTGCATCGCCAATGCCAGGAACTTGCACGAGCTGCAGACCATCTGGACGAAAGACGATATTCCCATCGAAGATGCCAGGATCACCTTCAATTTCAAAGATTCCTGGAACAGGACGCTCATCCTCATATCGGCCAATCTGACTTACAGTGGCGTTTACGCTTGCCACGTCGATCTAAAAACCGGTGGCTATCCGACCATCAGTGCCAGCGCCAACGTGGAAGTCCTAGGTGAGTCCCTCGCATTTTTTAACTCGCAATAGTATCGCTGCAACCATGTCGATGCACTATTGCACGAAACAGTACTCGCTGTACGTGTCAAGTTTGTTCGATACCCTCGAGAACTAGCGTGTACGAGAACGTAACTGCACTCATGAACTTTGTTTTTGTTTTGCGCATAACAGAGAAACCAACTTTCCGAACGGAACTGAAGCGCGTCACGCTCAGCGAGTACGGCAAGACGGTTTCGTTGCATTGCGATGCCGAGGGCGTGCCACCACCGACAATTCAATGGTTTCGTAATGCCGAGCCCATCCAAAGGTTGCCTGGATCCAGGTAAAAAAATTTTTATACCGTAATTTGACTAAAAATGTATTCATCTCATAAGGGTTGATCCTTGCGTTTCATTTTTCAATATACATTATATATTTGCTTGGGAGTTCTGAACTAATTTTTTATTTGACAATATTATGTTTTTTTTTAGTCATTTTTTAAACGTTTAAATACACTCACACAGAATTGTGACTAAATGTGCCACATTTTATATCGACGTTAACTGACTTAATGTACGTGTTTGTACAGGTACTCGATGCAAGAAGACGGCTCGTTGGTCATCAAAAAGCTGAAAATGGAAGATTCGGGCATGTTCCAATGTTTGGCGCTCAACGACGCAGGAGAGGCATCCAGTTACACATGGCTTAAGGCCAAAAGTGAGTATAAGCTCATATCATTGCGTCTAAATAATACCAAGCGCTTTTGAAAAGTACCTGACTTAACCGACGACTAGTTACAATTTCTCCAAGCAATTGGTTAAATTTTTAATGAACATCATAAATCGGCAATATCGATACCATAAATTTATTCGTTACTATGTTCATGATTTTTTTTTAATATTCTATAAATATTATTCTATTTGACGTGTTATGCCATCACAGAAAGAATCGATACAGCAGTGAAAGAGAGATTTAGACGCAGAGCCGCTGGTTATGGTATCGTCGCCGTACGACAGTACGATCAACATTTTGCGTTCTCAAAGTACCAAGAACGTAAGAAATCACAATATTTCTCGAGTTGTGTTTTACATTCATATCCACAATTTCATGGATAACATTTTGGTTTTCACTATTCTTTTATTAGACAGTAATTAATTTTCGAAATGCTAAAGATTTAGATGAAATATGATTGATATGTTTCTGTATTTTCAAGTAGCCGAAATAAGTCATTTTCGTAGTAAAATAAAACGAGTTCTTTTTATAGATTTTTGCCTCTCACTATTTTCAATGAAGCTATTAAATTTTCTGATAAGTATTACGATTTTCAAATATCTTGATTTAGCAGTTATAATAGAATTGATTTTTAACGATAAAAATGAAATTATTACTTACTTCTTCGGCTTCTTTGAAAATTCATCATCGAAAGAACAATCTAAAATTTTATCTGAATCAGAGTCTGTCGTACTCGCATTTTTTTATTGGCTCTTGAATTTACTTAGTTTTTCATTTGTGTTTTTGAGTTTGGAGTTTTCTAAAAAAAATTTATCACTTTTTGTATAGTTTTGCAGCTTTGTAGACGACAGTGAAAAATACACCTATTATACACTTAGCAATGACTTTAGATAATTATGCTAGTCATATAATACTTAGTGAACGCACTACTTATATCGAATAAAACAATATTAGTTCGATAGAAAGTACGTACTTTACGACATTTGTTTTACTGGAGTGACTGTTTTTTGTTAGATTTATTATTATAATTGAATATAACGAAGCAGTGATTATCAAATCGCTGCTGACGCTTCTCATGTAAATCCTTTTTCGTCGTTACCTAGTGTAGATATGTGAATTTTTATAGACGCAGAAAATATTGTTTTACAGTTTGTAAGAATTGTATTTTTCGGTTGTATCAATTGGCGTCGAAGATTGATTCATGTGGTTATTTGTTTTCATATAATATACTTGTCTACTAATTTCAGAAGATCGCGACACTTCGTTATGAATGTTTTACATTTTATTTTATCATTATTGTCTCGAGTAACAATACAATCATACATTATCATACGCATTGCTCACACTTTCTACAGCACATAAGCAAGTGACGCACTCTTTTGCAGAGCGTTATCGTAAAGAGACGCTTCGTAAAGATCACTTGTTTTAATTTTGCATTATGTATTATACATGCCTACCTTACGGAAAAGTCACGCAGATATTTTTATTTTTTGCTTATAAATTGTCACCAACATTTTGAACGAGATGAAGAGTTTTCACTTTGGATATAAATTTTGTTCGTTAATAATCATGCGATTGCTTATAGTCCTAGTTAGTGGAGTATGTGCAGGTTGAACATATTAGTTTGAAATTTTTGTTTTTGTGTATTATGCATGGTTTGCTTGTATAAAATGTACGGTATAACTAAATCGTGATTAATAATTTTCCAGCTTCTGTACCCATAATGGAAGTAATACCTAAAAACGTCACTGTATTAGACGGAAAGGATGCAATTTTGCCATGTCGAGCAATAGCTGCACCAGCACCAAACGTTACATGGTTTTATAATGGTGAGTGTTTGTTTTAATTCTTAACGATCAGTCATAAACTGAAATTCGATAGAAAAATATTCATTTCATTGAAACATTTTTTATGATCGCAGATAAAATGCCACTAGAAATAGCTGGCCGAGTGCAAGTATTAGAAAGTGGCGACCTCGTAATTGGTAATACGAAGCGTTCAGATGCCGGCAAATATACCTGCGTGCGCGCTAACGAAGCTGGATCCACTAATGCATCGGCTCACATATCTGTTATTGGTAGGTTTTCCATTATTGATTAATGTTTTTAGAAGTTAAAATGAATATTAAATTTGCACGATTACGTGATTGTTACGATCTAATTACGGCTTCTTGTAGTACGAACTCAAATTGTGCAACCACCTGTTGATCAGTCCGTGCTTCTCGGAAATACAGCCGAACTTAAGTGTGAAGTATCAAGCGACCCTAGCGTCAACTACGACATCGCTTGGTTCCACAATAATCAGTGAGTGAACGCGTACATACACAGCTATCTTATTTGTTGTGAAATTTCCAATGAATGGTGAAAATCTTGTTTTTGTTTCTTACAGAGTTATAAATCCAAGTCAGAGAGTAAAAATGCACAGAGATGGCTCTCTAGAAATAGGAGCAGTGAGGGCCTCAGACGTAGGCAATTATACGTGTTCCATCGTATCAAGCGGCGGCAATGAGACTCGTACAGCACGACTGAGTGTCATAGAATTGCCATTCGCACCGGTCAGCGTTGTAGCTTCGAGGGTAGAGCATCTTTCTCCTCGCAGCATTAATGTCACTTGGGTACCTGGTTTTGATGGCAACAGTCCTATCAAATCTTACATTATACAACGCCGTGAAGTTCCCGAACTAGGTAATTGAGGCTATTATTTTTACATTTAATTTTCCCTTTTTCTATACTATATCTACATCTTTACATGTAATGTTTCTTTTATTAAATAACAACTTGTGGGAATTTTATTTCTTAGGACCACTTCCGGACGTATCGCTCAACTGGATTACCGAGTATTCCAATATTTCTGCAAATTTACGTTGGGTCCTCTTTGATAACTTGAAAGCTGCTGCAGTTTACCAGTTCCGAGTGAGTGCAGAGAATAGCGTTGGAGAAGGTCCGAGCTCTGAGCCAAGCAATATAGTAGTACTTCCTCAGGAACGTAAGTATATAGAAATAATAAAGCTGAAGTTTTTATCGTGATTTTCTTAATGATATTAATTTGAAAAATTTCATTGCAGCTCCTTCTGGTCCACCAGTTGGTTTTGTTGGATCGGCACGCTCATCATCGGAAATCATAACGCAATGGCAACCTCCGAGCGAAGAGCATCGTAATGGTCATATTCTTGGCTATGTGCTACGTTACAAATTGCATGGCTACAATGAAGCACCTTGGATGATTCAAAACATCACCAATGAGGCTCAGAAAAATTTCCTCATCACAGATCTCATTACGTGGAAGGATTATATTGTACAGATAGCAGCCTATAATGACAAAGGTGTTGGTGTCTTTACGAATGAGTTACGCATCAAGACCAAAGAGGGTGTACCCGAAGCACCACCCACAGACGTTCGCGTCAAAGCCATCAACTCAACTGCTGTAATGGTTTGGTGGAGACCTCCAAATCCTCAAAAAATCAATGGTATAAATCAAGGTTACAAATTGCAAGCTTGGCATGGAGGATTCAGCGAAAATGACGAATATAAAACCATTACTGTGGCTCCTAATTTATTCGACCCGCAAGCCGAGCACAGTGCCGTCATGAACCATTTGAAAAAATACACACTTTACAATATTACCGTGTTATGTTTTACGAATCCTGGCGACGGTGAGCGCAGTGATCCAGTTCCAGTACGGACTAGTGAGGATGGTAAGTTTTACAATCGTTATTATTAATGTTATCGTTAAAATAGAGTTAATGAGCCCTAAATTATTGTGTGTTCAGTTCCATCCAAAGTGGAAAATCTTCAGTTCCTGAACATCAGTGATCGGGCCCTCACAGTCAAATGGCGAGCCCCAAAGGAAATTAATGGAATACTCATTGTTTATCAATTGAAATACATGATCAAAGATAGACCAGATAGTCTGAAGGTGCTAAACTTAACTGCTGATACATTGTCAACAAAAATAGAACATTTACAGGTAAGCAGCATTTAGTAACTTTTTTTTTTTTTAATAGACTGATTATTTTATAATATTCGATTCGCTTTGATATTAGGCTACGACGCATTATACATTCGAAGTGCTAGCGTGGACATCTAAAGGTGCCGGAGAACCAAGTATAGCCACAATACAGTCGGGCGTTGAGCCAGTATTACCTCAGCCACCCACTAAGTTGGCTCTCTCAAATATTGATGCATTTTCGATCGTGTTACAATTTACTCCTGGCTTTAATGGTAACGCTTCCATCTCTAAATGGACTGTACAAGCCCAAACAACTCGAAATACCACTTGGCACACAATATCTGAAATATACGACGATCCTGATGCCAGAAAAATTATAGTTGACAACCTTACTCCGTTTATGCAGTATAAGCTCCGCCTCATAGCTAATAATGTGGTAGGTCCTTCTGAGCCGTCAGAGCCTACCAAAGAATTTCAGACAATTCAGGCACCACCTTCACACCCACCAAGTAATGTAACAGTTAGGGCTATGAGCGCTACAGAATTGAGAGTCAGATGGATTGTGAGTATTTTTATGCTCTTAAAATAAATTTACCAATCAAAAACATTTACTTAAAAATGTACTTAATTCCTTTGTGTTACAGCCTTTACAGCAAGTTGAATGGTATGGTAACCCACGCGGCTACAATATAACTTACACCCACGTTCGTACCAACAGCTCAAAAAGTATCAGCATTGAAGATCATACGGCAAATTCATACGTTCTTGAGAATATGGAAGAATTCGCTTTATATGAAGTAGTCATGTACGCATATAATGATGTAGGTTCTTCAGTAAATAGCCCTAAAGCTATTGAGAGAACAAGAGAATCAGTACCATCGCAAGGTCCTATCAATGTTGAGGCGAATGCAACTTCATCAACCACGATTGTCGTTAAATGGGGTGAGGTGCCTATCGATCATCAAAATGGACAAATAGAAGGTTACAAAGTCTACTACAGAGCCAGCAGTCGAACGCCATTCCAGCATAAGAATATACCTAATAATTCTACTTTTACTACAACTTTAACAGAGTTGCGTAAATATGTACAGTATCATATTCAGGTACTTGCGTTTACCAGATTAGGTGAAGGTGCTCTCAGTATGCCACCAGTAAGAGTTCAAACATTCGAGGATGTACCTGGTCCTCCATCTAACGTGTCATTACCGGACGTTAGTTTTAATACTGCCAGAATAATATGGGATACTCCAGAAGATCCAAATGGAGAAATACTTGCCTTTAAAGTTATGTTCCACCCGAACGGAACCCAAAATCATATTTTCAGCAAAGAATTTTCATCTACAACTAGAACATTCACTGCCATAAATTTGGAACCAGAACGGTATTATATGTTTTCAGTGTCTGCCCAAAGTCGACTGGGTTGGGGCAAAACAGCTTACGCTTTAGTATTGACTACAAATAATAGAGAACGTCCTCAACCACCCTCAGTCCCACATGTGAGTAAATCTCAAATCCAAAGCCGACAAATTACTTTTAGTTGGACACCGGGTCGCGATGGATTTGCTCCACTCAGGTACTACACTGTGCAGCAGTCTGAAAATTCTGGTCCATTTCAAACGATACCAGAACGTGTCGACCCATCCTTGACTTCCTACACTGCTAATAGCTTAAAGCCGTACACTCTGTATCAGTTTAGAATTCAAGCAACTAATGATATTGGTCCTTCTGATTGGAGCGCAGAATCCATACAAGTTAAAACTTTACCTGCCGCTCCATCGCGAGGTGTTACGGGACTAAAGGTAGTGCCAATTACAACATCAAGTATCGAAGTCCATTGGAACTCTATAGATGAAGCAAATTGGAGTGGAGACTATCAAACAGGTGGTTACCGCGTATTTTATCAACCAGTTGCAGATTTTCCTTTGCCAGAACCTCCAAAAGAAGAAGTTATGGGAATAAATGCTACCAATATAACTCTAACTAATTTGGATGAAGATAAAAATTACGAAGTATTTGTAGTGCCCTTTAACTCGGAGGGTGAAGGCCCACAAAGTCTTCCGGTAACAGTTTATGTTGGCGAAGCTATCCCTACAGGCGAACCTCAAGAAGTTACAGCAAAATCTGTTTCATCAACTGAAGTTGTACTTAAATGGAAACCACCTCAAGTCAATATGCAAAACGGTCAACTCCTTGGATATAAAATATTTTATTTAGTTACTGACTCGCCACAACAGATGGAAAAGAAGCAAGAGGAAGAAACTGAAGTCGTGCCTGCATCTTATTTGTCACATAGTTTAGTATTTTTGGATAAATTTACTCAGTATCGGATTCAAGTTCTGGCTTTCAATCCAGCCGGCGATGGACCTCGATCTCCCCCAATTACCGTCCGCACTGCAGAGGTATTATTTCAATCCATGATTCGTAAAATATATTTAAGTGGCCGAGTAGTTTTTAATTGTTTTTTTCTTTAGGATATACCAGGGCCTCCACAAAATCTGTCATTTAGTGATATAACACTAACAAGTTTGCGAGTATCCTGGGATCCGCCAAAAATGCGCAATGGTGAAATAGTTGGCTATGTGGTTTCATATAAAACTTCCGAACAAAATGATCGTGAGTTTCATATTCAATTTGTTTAGGGAAAATATATGAATGCGAATCTTGAAAGCTTAAATTTTCTTTATAAATTTTAGGTTTTAGCAAACAAGTGAGGCAAAAGGTGACTGACACCAGCTTACTTATTCAATCCCTAGAAAAAGAAGCAATGTATACTTTCATGGTCCAAGCGGAAACAATAGATCTTGGTCCACCAATTTCTGGTAACGTGACTACAGGCCCACAAGATGGTTCACCTATGCCACCATCTGAGTTGAGCATCATTCGAACGCTGTCTAGCGTTGAGTTACAATGGACTAATGGCGCAACAGGAAAAGCGCCTTTATTAGGATACTACATAGAAACTAAAAGTAAAGGTAAATAAAGTAAAAGTTCATTTAAATTTTTTTCAAGTAAATTAAAGCTGCAAAAACCAGTACATTAATAAATAAATACTTTTTTTTTGATGATTACTCAGGACGGGAAAGTTGGCTAAATCGTAAGTTAAGAAATACACGTCAGAGTGAAAAATTATTTTTTTGCATTTATTTCATTTTGCTCTACGAATGTCTTCATTTAACTGCCTCAATTTCTTTCATGTCCTCTCTCAATTTATTATTCATTAAGAAAATCGTGCGTCGTGCATGGCTTTAGTTTAAAAAAAAAACCAACGTAGTTAATAGAAGTGAAATTTAAAAATGCATATTATTTTATCTCATATACTGTAATTATGTCTTTTTAATAATTATTTATAGCATCAAAATCATGTATTAATAATTAATCCTTTATTAATTATTACTTGAAACTTTGAAAACTACTCTAAAAAATCAAAAAGAAATTAATTTTTTAAAGCTTTTTGTACTAACAAATTTTTCAAGTTCTGCCTCCTGATGATATTAATAGTGTAAACAAAAATTATTTGATACCTTGTGTGCTATTTAAGCAAACAACAAATTTAAAAAAAAAACTTTTAAGAAACAGTATTTTAATCGAAGTATTTCATACTATTTTTTAATAAGGATTATTATCAAACATCAATTATACTCAATTTTAAATCAAAATTTTTTTTACTTACGTGAAATCACTGAGTTATTTGATTTGAAAAGTGTTTTCTTAAACTTTTATGACATGCAATTCTTAATTAACATGTTTTGTGAACCGTGGCCATTAATTTTCATGATCACATGAGTTAGTGATCTAATGAATTCATCAAATCTATTTAATTTTGCTTTGAATTCCGTTCATAAACCTTATCAATAAAAATGAAGAGTAGATGTAATGATTTTATTTATTTCAGATGATAACCAATGGCAGATAGTAGCCAAAACTAACACTGGGATGTTGACAGAGTACAGTATATCATTCCAAACTTTGCTTCCATCTACATCTTATGTTTTCCGAGTAATAGCTTATAATCGATTTGGTATAAGTTGTCCTGCCCTTTCACCAGATCCGGTAAGGCTTCATTTATGATAATTTTAATTAACGTTATTAATGTAGCGAATTTTATAACGATTATTTAACTTTTTTGAAAACTAGATATTGACTCCATCGAAACTTCATTCAGAATATTCATACATGAAGCATCATCCATTTTACCGACAAACTTGGTTTATGGTATCTTTAGCTGCTGCTTCAGTTGTAATTATTATAATGGTAGTGGCGATTTTATGTGTCAAAAGTAAAAGTTATAAGTATAAACGTAAGTATTCAAAGAACTTAAATTATTTCAATTAGTACTGAATTGACTAATTATGGTGCATAAATCATGTTTAGAAGAAGCTCAAAAAACGTTGGAAGAGTCCATGGCAATGGATATTGAAGATCGACATGAGTCTGATTTAGAACTTTACCGTTCGAGACAGGGTGCAATAGCAAGTATTAGCAACGGTACGCTTGGTAAACGCAGCACCTTGAGTCGAAAACCTATGCATCCACCTCCTCCAGCTGTTTATGGAAAGTCTCCGCCGAGGCCCTCGCCTGCATCGGTAGCTTATCACAGTGACGAAGAAAGCCTTAAGGGTTACGATGAAAACCCTGACGATAGCAGTGTTACTGAAAAACCATCGGAAATAAGCTCAACAGACTCGCAGGTATATAGTCATAACATTTTTTATTAGTTTTTGTATTAGAAAATAATGCATTTTTTAAAATAAATAAATTTGAGACCAAGTGAATTTGCCAATAAAACATGACAATTTTTAAATTGTAGCAACAATCGGAAAGCGAGAATGAGAGTGTTCAATCAGATCCTCACTCGTTCGTGAATCATTACGCCAACGTGAACGACTCTCTCAGACAATCATGGAAGCGACAAAAACCCGTGCGCAACTATTCTTCTTATACAGATTCTGAACCTGAAGGTAGTGCGGTAGTAAGTCTCAACGGTGGTCAAATCATAATGAATAATATGGCGAGGTCTAGAGCACCACTTCCCGGCTTTTCTTCTTTTGTTTGATCAATTTGAATTGCCACGATACAGTTGCTCAACTCAAACAATTTTATCTGTGTTAAAAGATGCCTGACCTTATATGCTTTATTTCAAAAATTTCGCTTATATAGATCTCTTAATAACTCGTGACTGTAATATAGATTAGTTGTTAATATTTGCAGAGACCCAAGATTCTCTATGGCATTCTGCCTTTTCTAAGAATTTATGGCAAATACTTATTGTGATATATTTATTTTATATCTTTATTCTTATGAATTTGCTATTGTTCAATGAGCATTCTTTTTACTATTTGTTCCTCATAGGAGCGATGTTTTTTACACTGTGGCTTTATCCTAAAATCTTTACATGGCTACTGCTCAAGACGGTAGTTTCTTTAATAAGCTAACTTTTTTTATAATATCGATTAAAAAAAACACAATTTACTCTCTAACGTGTATGAAAGTTGATACAATTTCAAATTTTTCAATGCAAAGACTCAATTTTTTTGTAATGGTTGATCAACAGGGTATCGAATAGATGTGCATGTGCATAGTGAAAATGTATGATTGCTGTCTTTGATGTAAATAACATACTCTGTGATTATCAAATTAAAATAGAAAACAACAACTGTCAAGTTAAAATACTTTTATCTTAACAATTGACATAAGCTAGTGTTGAAAATCAATGAATCTGACAAGTTATTTATATCTGATGATTATCTCATTTATCATATCAGTAGATGAAAGTATTTTCTTCTAACAAATATTAATCAGGGTAGCTAAATCTTTGAGTTTCTGTGATTGATTTGAAATCACAGTTTCTATCAAGTGTCCTATCCATATCATAAAAAACGAAGCAACAGAGTTGCCTTATTAATGATCGAAAAAATAAGATTTTTGAAATCTTCAATGACTTATCATTGCTGTATAAATATTTCGATGCTAAAAATTAAGCTACGTTAATGTAAACTTGACCAAGACGTTATTGGACATTTTTGTATTTGTATAGAGTAAAAAATCATAATTTAACATATAAAGATATAAATTGTTTTAAATTTGTATATTTTTTACATGTTGCACTTTATTTAGTTTTTCATGTGTTACGTTAGCGCAAACATAGATTTAAGAAATCAGGAGTGAAATTATTGTAAATATGTTCCATTGTATTTATTGTGATGTGTCATTATGAAAATATCTTTATAGGTATTATTAATGTAATTGCCAACAAACTGTACACTAATGATTCGCATATCAGAAAATAATATAATTAGAATAGCCATAATTAGATTAAGTATCCACTAGTTTTAATTTATTGCTATGAATGCTTTATTTATATATTTAAATGCGAATGATTCAAATTTTTGAATTCAATTATAAATGCTGAGTTTAAATGTGAAGGCTGATGATACGTATAATTTCAAATATAATAGTTCAATTCGTGAATAATATTTATGCTACTCTTCATGCTTATTACACAATTTGAACAAAAACAAATAAGGTATAAAAATAGTTTAGAAATGTAAGTAGATTGAACATTCAGTTTTTAAAAATAGACTTCATGTTCAATTCATCTAAAGCTAGGTGGGTTGTCTAATGTGTTGTGTAAGATAAGTAGTAGAGTTAATTGTAATAGCTTAGGTTTTTGTACATGATCTTTTTATAAAATATTATTTATATTATAAACTTTTTACTCAATGACTGCCAATTGACTAAATATTTTTACAATATTGTCATTTGAAAAGTGAGTATCTAAATCAATACAAAATTTTGAACATTTTTTAATGTTTAGTATCATAAAAATCAATGTAAACAATTGATATTAATAAAAACAATGATAAATTAATTTTATTCAACATTTCTTATTTTATTAACAATCATTAATTTGATAAAAATGTCTTTTCACATGAGTCATACCAGCTTTTTAATTCTTTAGGAATTTTGTCTTGTGAAAGTCGTTTTAAGACCGACCATAATGCAACATCAATGATTGATGGGTTGTTAGATTTTGTGAGCCACTTTCCATTTTTTAGTTGGTCACTTAATTTAATACAGAGAGGTTTCAAGTTTATAGTCTCTTCAAAAGTTGAAAAATAACAGTAGTCCAGTACACTGTCATTGGTAGAGGTTTGGTCTAGAGCATTGGAGTTTTCATAAAGATACTTTGGAATTAATCTGGTTAGATAGCGTAAAATATTAGCTTCTCCTTCCAAAGGATAATCATAGACTTTGGTGACAAGTTGAATATCTGAAACTATACGAAAAAAGAATAATATAATAGTTTACACTTTTTATACTTTAGAACATATTGAATTTTACCATTTTTCCAAATGAGTTTCACATCAATATTGTGAACATAAGTTTTTCCAGTATCTTTTAATAAATATTCCTGGAAATGGTTATTTGCTACAGCAAGAACTGATGAGTGTTGGTAAATTTGTACATTAAATCTTGTATCATCCCACAGTCGTTGCAAAGCCAGTAGAAAGTATGGAGGACTGTTAGGATTGGCATATACAATTATTTCAGTTTCTACCGGTTCCTAAAAACGATCAAGAAATATTTATCAAGTTTAAATTTTCTTTCAAGAAATTTACAGATAAAAAAATTTAAATACCTGTTTTAAAAAGCCTATATATTCTGGAGTATCTCGTACATAAGGGGGTGGTTTTGAAATGTCAGCCAATCGTGCAGCTGTACTAAGATATTCTATTTCCAATTTTAACTCGCATAACTCTTGAAGAATTAACATTTGTTTATTCTCCAACAAATTAATCTGTGGATCCACTTCCTAAAAATGACAAAGATTAAAATAAAAGGAGTCAAGTAATGATTGTAATTGTAGAGATTATAATTGTAGAGATAATTAAACTAAAAATTGCTAGTAAATTGAATTTTCATTCTCAAAATGTCAATTGTTGGTAACATATAAGGCAATAAATTAAATGTGCCTGTATGAATGAGTAGTTTTCGCGACATAGTTCAGATTATTAAAACGCAAAGCGATTCTGCACGTAATATATACAACAAGCTCAGTCAAAGGGTGTGCGGGTTGCAAGTGTACTCAACATGACTCATGTGTACTTGATTATCGATCGTAAGAGGATCTACGCATACATTTTTCAAGTTTCCCGACTGCTTTACGTACTACGTAAGCGCGCAGCAACAATCGTCGAATCAGTATAGCTTCGGCCTTTTTCGGTGGCAGAGTGTATCAGCAATACGATGGAGCTGCTAACCCCCGAACGGCGACCTCGTCCGCAGCAATCTCACGTAAGTTTGCAAGCTGCAACATCATCTTCGCGGCGTTTGTGTGAAGCCCTCGGACAATGCAATTGCATTACGAGCGGATCAGCGTTTTGCTTCTTACCTGTGGCATGCAGTCGTCGTCGACGTATTCCCAGCCAGCTGGCAATTCGACGTCCATCTCCGCGACGTCATCCTGAACGCCCAGAATTTTTGGCATCTTGTAAACGACACCCTCGGGCAGCTCAACCTTCTTAGGCAGATCGATCACCGGCTTGAGCTTGTACATTTTGTCGTATTTGGTTCACGATCGAGTGAGTTGCAACAATTTTCTTCTGACAAGTGGACTTTGTTATTGAAGTTCTGGACGGCACGGTTAACCTCGATTGGGTTCGGGTTAGGAAGACGGTGATCAGCTCCGCACGTAAACACTGCGCGTGCAGCAGCTTTGCTTTTTAACGTGGAACGCCATTTTTTCATCTGTAGCTCCATCTCTCTTGCTGTCATACAACAAGCGGTCTCGCAACAACAGCGCAACAACACGGAGCGACATCCAGCAGACAGTCTATTCAAGATGTTATGGCGCAAAATTTTTGAAATCTGCGTCGCTATGAGTGCATCTGCATTGGACTTTCAACAATCATCCGCGAACGGACTGGCTTTCGGAATTCGGCCTCTGTTCAAATAAGCCGCCTCGGCGGCAATCAAGTTCGGAAGATGTAATTCAGAGTCGCCGGCGCTGATAAGCTGCGCGCCTTTATACTCTGTGGACTTTGACTCGTAGAGCTCAATGCAATAGACGTCGCATCGGGTCGGTTGAACGATCTGCACTTGTGTGCGTGCAGTGCATATCTTCGAATTCGCGATATATGCGCGCGCAACCGACCCCGTAATTCTGTGCACACACATATACACACAACGTCACACAAGAGCAGCAGCTAACGTATGTGGACTAATGCAACACTGCAGCATCGACGTGAAATGTGCTCGCATACCTCCCCCGCAATTTTTCAAATTTGTCCAACGTTTGTCGAGAAGAATAATCGAATCGATTCGAATTTTTCGATTTAGCTCCAGGTCGTTGCATTCAGTTGATTTTCTATTCTCCGGCGGCTATTGTTAAAATTACGATTTCGACGCATTACGAGCAATAACGAAGAAAAAACTTCATCGTGCACTAAATTTGCAAAAAAAAAATTTTTCACGAAAAATTGAAGTTCCTAGGCAGAGCGAAGCGGAATAAGGCGAAAAAGGAGCTAAACTCGGGCAGTCGATGGCATAAGAAGCATCTATACGCATATGTATAGGTAGGTGTACAAGTGGACGGCTATGTTATTCGCGACGGATTCGCGACAACAAGCGCAAATATTCGGAATGCAGCGAGCAAAATCCAGATGGCTCTGCGTCATTGCTCGTTCCTGCTAGCTGCTTATTTGCGTTTATCCTACTGCTCGCATGTTGTGCGCGTTTTGCAAGACCAGCCAGATTTACGAGTGCAGTTGGTGCATATCGATAATTGGAAAATTGATTAAAGTTAATTTTTGTATGGTGGTCGAGCGGCTAAAAAAGTGACAAGTGTCAAGTGACAGTGCGGCCCGAGAGGCCCAAGCGTCCATTCCAGACTGTATAGAAGGTAAAATTTTCATTGACTAATAATGCGAGCTACGATAGGCAGTGTTGCAGACTTGCAGTAGCAGCAGCAGCAGCAGCAGCAGCAGTAGCGCGAGTAGTGTCCTCTATTAAAGCATCCATCGAACTAAGGTTAGGAGGGCCTTTCGCCTAGATAGAGCCCTCCACCCGGAAGCGTCGGCCGTGCGTGCGCCACGGAGCTCCAAAGAGTCTCGGAAAAATTGACCGAGCTGACTCGACGCGCTGCGAGAACTGGCCGACGCCGGCGCACTACCCTCCCAAACCCCCTCGAGCTTAGCGAGCTTCCTCGGCCGACGCTCGCCCCCTCGCCAATATTCATCGCGTGCATGCTTTACGGTCTATACAGGCTCGCTCCGCGTTCGCTCGGATTTCGGAGTTCTGATTCTGACTTTCGGAGTGGTGCGTGGCTGGCGACGCTAGCGCCATCCGGAGCCTCGCGCAGAAGCCACGGGCGCCCGTGAGCGAGAGACGCTCCGATTGGTTGATGCCAACAACCCCAAAGCGAGGCCAATTATCCAACCCCCCGGTGAAGCTCGCGATCGAAACGAGATGACGCAAGGCTGCTGGGAGCATCGTCACCGTGACCAGCCGAGGCTCCGGAGCTCCGAATTCCGAAATTGATGCCGTTTCCCGAACGAATACCACATGACACACGTGTGAGACGCGATTAATGGCCGCTCGCGACAACGCGCCTTTCCGGCCAATTGAGCTGCCCCTCGCTATAAAAAACCTCGCGCGCTTCGCGTTGCTTCTCTCTCTCTCTCTTTCTCTCTTTCTCCCTCGCAGGCTTCGCGGCTCACAGTCAGTGCAAACTCGTACGTTGCAGCTAACGCGCGTCGCGCTGCGTCCCTTCGCCACCTCGTCGTCAGTCCGGTCTCGAGGCTTTGCGCATGTATAGTGCGCGCGCGCGTGTGTGTGTGTGTGTAGCCGTTGGCTAGCTACGGTAGCGCAGCCGCGACTTGCGGGCCGCCTGTACAAGCTATACGGGGCTCTCCGATATATATGCATACACAATTGCAACTTAACAACCCGAAAGCGCTTGCTCTCTTTCTATCTCGCTCTCGCCGTCTGTCTGTCTCTCTCGCACACTCGTTGCAAGCTCGCTGTTTTTGTATTGTCGTACGAAACACATCAGCTGTTTGATTATTTGCCGGTTCAACGTTTATTTTGACTAGTTATTACTCTGTGCTCGAGGGCCTCACGCCCGTCTTTTACGTCTAGTTTCTCCAATTACTTTTAGGTTATTTTTCTGCTAACTCGATACGTACTCTGTCGGGTACCAGTTTTGTACATAGATAATACGACGTGCATCTTGTTGATGTTGTGGACGTAAACTTCACACGATGGCCAAACAAAACAAAGCCAATGCAAAGGCTAAACCGGCCAAAAAGAATAAAACGAAAAAAGTGAAGAAAACGTGAGTACTTGACTAATTAAAGCGACTCCAATTCCGAATTTTCTTTAAAAGTGTTTTCATATTTTGCTCTTGCTGATGCTGTTGTCACTACTTCAAGTTTAATTTATGATTTGTCTGCAATGGGTGACTTGCCGTGACTCCTAAACACGTTTCTTAATTTAATATAACATATAAAATTTTATATTATTGTTGACAGAGTTACTACTGCACCAGGTCGGCCCACACGCAACATGTCAGGAAGGGGCAAGCGGCGGGGTCGTCCCCCCAAAACTGCTGTGATGGAGAGGCCCAAAAAATTTCAATACCATTTGATGAAGAAACCCAAATATCTTCAGGCCAAGGGATCCGACACACCATCTTCTCAACCGAATACTCCTAGTGCTTCACGTTCTGCTTCACCTCAAGAAAGTCATGAAGATACTCGCAGTACTAGACGTAGTACTAGAAATCGTAAACCTCAAAAAGTGGTTAAGGAAAAGCACACTAAAAAAACTGGTCATTCTGGTTCAGCATATCAGAGAAGAGGATACAACGCACATGTTGATTATCATGACTCTGAATACCATTATGGATCAGATTTTGGTGATGAATCTAGCGACAAGAGTGACATTGATGATGACCCTCTACTTCAAAGCGAAGATGAATCATCTGATACTTTGGAAGAACCAGATCCATCAAGTGACAGTGACTTTTCTCTCTCAAGTTTTAGCAATAACAGTAATACTCCCAAAAGGCCTCTTCTGGCTCAACCAAGACCACCTAGTCCAGAACCTCTGTGGCTTCAAAATTGTGAAATTCCAAAATTGGAATTACCTAAATCTTCAGAAGATTTGTTGGTTCCCAAAAATTTAATCATGCCTTGTCTTTCTATATATGAAGTTCTTCGGCACTTTAAAACGCTTCTTAGACTTTCTCCATTCAGGTTTGAAGATTTTTGTGCCGCAATGACTTGTGAAGATCAGACCAATCTATTTGCAGAAATTCACATCACACTTATCAAAGCTTTATTGCGAGAAGAAGATTCTCAGCAAACTCACTTTGGCCCACTTGATCAAAAAGATTCTGTAAACATTACTCTTTATTTTGTTGATGCTATGACATGGCCAGAAGTTTTAAGGGCATATATTGAAAGTGATAAGAGTTTTGATCAAAATATTTTAGAAATTTTATCAAATTCGGAATATCCTTTTTCTGGCATTGAAGACAGAATAACTGTTTTACAATTTTTGACTGGACAGTTTTTAATCACTAATCCTGTTCGAGAAGATTTACAGCATGAAGGTGAGTCTAACTACATCTACTTATTTTCAACATTTACTTAAAACCAAACAGATAAAATAAACTGGTTGATATTTAGGTAACAAAGACTATGATGATCATTGTCGGGTTTGCCATAAATTGGGAGACTTATTGTGTTGCGAAACATGTCCTGCTGTGTTTCACTTAGAATGCGTTGATCCACCACTGATTGATGTTCCTCCTGAAGATTGGCAATGTAATATATGTAAAGCTCACAAAGTAAATGGTGTAATGGACTGCATACCAGATGCAGAAAAAAAAGGTCTATTATGCAGGCAAGAACATTTAGGTTTTGACAGACATGGCCGAAAGTATTGGTTTTTAGCAAGAAGAGTTTTTATGTATGTTATTTTAAACTTTTGATTATATATTCTTTTTAATATAAATATATTGTTTGTACTTATTAATTATTATTAAATTTAAATTACAGAGAAAATGAAAATGGGGAAATATGGTATTATAGTACTCCATTACAACTTGAAGAATTAATGAATGTTCTAGATAAAGATGATATGGAAGTTGCACTTTGTAGAGAGCTATCTGATTATCTAGATGAAATTAAAAGACAAATGGAACTTACAGAAACTATAACTAACAAGTATAAAGGAAATAAAAAATCATACTTGGAAGTCGAAAACAGTAAGTACAACTTTCATATAGTACTGATTCAATTTTCATTTTGTTTTGTTCTTAATTAAAAGCTGCATAAATGAATATTATAATTATTTAAACAAAACTATCAACACTATAGACTTTATAAAAACGTAAATTTTATAAATAGGTCTTATTTTAAAAATGAGAAAAGAGCGTCAGGAAAAATTGGAAAAAGAAGAAGAAGAGCAGAAAGAAAAACAAAGGCAAGAAGCTGAGGATATAGTTCGTCAAATACATGATGATTCTGAATCTCAGCAGCAAGATGTAGAAATGCAGGACAGTTCCAAAATGGATTCTAAAAAAAGTAATGAAAATGCAAAAGAAGAACAAAATTCTATTGACATAGTTGAAAGCGAAAAATCAAAAATTGAAGACATGCAAACAGAAGAAACATTAGAAGGCCTTGATAAAGATGGTAAGTATTTTAAAACAATATAATTCATAAGTAATGATCATATTACATGAAAATAAATAGTTTAACCAGATTTGCAAATCTTATCTACCATATTATTAAATGAATATTTTATGGTAATTTTGTAACTATCCATACTTTCTTTACATACTTAGTTTTGGCATGCTATAAGAAAAATTCTAATTTTTCAGGTAAACATAATATTGTAACAAGATCCAAAACGGGTTCGCTGACTCCAAAGATCAACAACTTGGATGAAGCAAAGAAAAAACCTAATACTATGAGTGTTAATGATTTAGAAAAGTTTGAAAAAACATTGAAAGATGAGAGTGACAATTCTCGTTTAACAAGGTTTAAAGCGCATCAGATAGCTTCTGGTACTCATTTGTTTAAACTTGGAATGGATAACAATTTTAAATCATATGTCAATCAGTACAGTACAAACCCAATAGCATTAAATAAAACTCAGCGAAATGAGGAGCGAGATAAGAAACGTCATTTATCACATAAATTTGCATTAACTCAATCAGTAGAATTCAAATGGATTGGTAGTATAACTGGTGCTAGGGCACTGCTTGTTCAAACCTTACGTCAAACAATTTTACAATTAGAAAGTATGATTCAAGCTCCTTTTATGCATACAAATTGGCCAGTATTACGGAAACCATGGACAGTTGCAGTGGGTTCTTGCGTAAATCCACGAGATTTTGCTCGTGCCCTAATTGCCTTACAAGCCTGTATTAAATCGGTTGTGTTTGCTAATGTTTGGCATGAACAACTTGGACATGTAAAGTTGCAGAGGGTGACAGCAATTGAACGCGAAGAAAAAAAACGTCTTGATAAAAAAGAAAAAAAAGATAAGGAAGATGAAGAGGAAAAAAATAGACTTACTTACAATTTTGTTAAGTATACACTTGGTATCAAGCATCAAATTTGGAAACAAAAAGGAGAAGAATACAGAATTCATGGTCAGTGGGGATGGCTTTGGTTATCATCTAACAGACGACGTAAATTAGTTGATTCCAGTAAACAAGGTTTAAGTGCCGGTCCTCAAAAAATTATGGTTCAAATTAAGGATCAAGTTGGTTTGAAAATTTTAGCAGTGGATCCCCCAACATACGATTATTTAATAAAAGAATACCAACCATCAGATATTGTTGATTCAGCTGATAAAGTTGAAAGCAGTAAAGTGAAATCAGAAGAAACCTCAGGTTCTGATGTCAGTGCAAGTGTTGCCAGTGAAGTAAATACTGAAAATCAAAAAGATGAAAAATCAAATGAGGATGAAGATAAAAGATCCAAAACTGAAGATGGTCAAAAAAATGATTCCAAAGCAGAAACACCCATTCCTAAGCAAGAATCTAAAGCTGGCCCAGCATATTTAGCTGGCATGAAAATTCAGCAGGTTGTAAAACCAATAACAGAATCTGAGGAAATTGATATCACCAAAGCTCTTACTACATCAGGACGAGCATTTTACCCTAAAGTTGCTAAGAAAACAAGAATTGATGAATTCCTTGCCAGACGTACTCATTTAAAATTATTGGAGGAAAGACGACTAAGTCAATCCGAAAAAGCACGAGAAATCATCAAGCAAACCGCCATGAAGAAAACTGTTGAAGAAAATGATGTTGACGGTGAAAAGCTTGAAGAGAATAGTGTTAAATCAAAAACTCTACTACCGGCTAAAGTTATCAATAAAGCTATCAGTCCTGGGACAAGAGATGTTCTTGCAGCTATTGGAAAACGCATACAACAAGTGAAAACACAATTTACCAATCTTACTCGATTAGGTGGAAAAAATAATGCTTGTTATTCAAAATACTGCAATCAAGCTAAACAAAATTTGAAAAACCAAACATTACTATCTGCTCAAATGTTAACTCCGCAGTGCTATTCACCTACTTGTCTGAAAATGAATCAGTTAAAAAGAGATTTGTTAATATTATTGAGAAAAGCTAATGCTCTCAATATGAAAACAGTTCCATTAAATTCTTCAATTACAACGACTAAACCCATTTCAAGTCCGATCGCATTGGTAAAAATTGCTGATAAACAACAAAGTGAAATCAAAAATGAATTCAAATCTGCCAATGAAAATGAAATTAAAACCGAAGTAAAATTAGATGAAAAAAATGATGTAAAAAGTGAAGTAAAATCTGAAACTGAAACTGAAATTAAAAATGAATCAAATGACCAAATTAATGATGAATTATCAAATGCAAAAAAATTGACCAATGAATCACTGGATGATAAAGAAAAGTTATCAATCTCTACTTCCGAAACTGATAAACCACCAGAAAAGAAAATAAAATTGGATATAGAGGATAACGTAAAAAATATCGAAAATAAAAATGTTGGTACCGTAATTTCAACCAATACAACTGTTACAACAACTACCACAGTAACTACTACAACGCAAAAAATACAAACTGTCGATGGAGTTGTTAAGAATATAAAAGAAATGGTGACATCTTGTAATGTTACTGATGTTAAATCAGAAACTACAAGTACAAGTAATGCTGAAACTTCATCTCCTAAAACAACAACTATTGTGAATAAACGTGGCAGAACTGTGCAAAGAATAGTTCATGCCAGAGAACTGAATGCAGATGGTTCTGAAAAAATTTATTCAGCAACGTCAACAGAAGGCAAAGTTTACTTGAAAAAAGTTGCAATCTCATTAGCAGATCGAAAGAAAAAACGTACACCTGTTAAGTACCCACTATGCTCCACATTTTGTTCTAAAACCAATCAACGTACAATACTAGTTCTTCCTCAACATGAACTAAAAAAATTAGCTCGATCTGCTGGTCGTGTATGGGTACATGGATTTCATCCAGCAGCAAAAGCAAATCCATCTGTGTGGCCTTATCCTTGCCCTAGACCTCTTTTCAAAACATGTTGGCTATACAGAACAGTTGGATTACGATCACTTGCTGCAGCAGCTCTCCAACTAAGAATTCTGTGGTCCTGTATTAGATGGGATGATGTGAACACAAAACCAATGTCCAGCGATGGAAAACATCAAGTTACAACTGATACCGAAATAATGTCGTTAGAAATATTAAAACATCGTCATGTAGGTCAATTTATGGATAAAACTCAATACTTACGAAGAAAAGTCGTGATCCCTCTAGAATTACCAAAACAAGTCAGAGAAGTAACATCGATTCGTAGTGGTTTGCGTAAAAGAAAACGTCCAGAATCCCCACAAAGCACGGAACCTCAAGTATCTGAAGAGTGGGTTGACGAAGATAAATTAGAATTGTGGGAAATTAAACAGTATGGAGAAAGAGTGGAAAAGGCTAATGCCCAAATTATGACAAGAAGTAGATCAGGTGGACCACAAACAATGGTTATTGGTAATAAAGGTAACTCTTCGTTTAGTAGTTCTGATCATTTAGTAAGTGGCAAAGCAACGCCTGAAGAAATCAAAGAGAAAATGGAGCAACAGTTGAGACAACAAAGAGCAGCTCATCAACAGAAAAGGGCTTTAGAAAATTTGAAAAATCTTGGCACACCTGGTACGCCTGGAACTCCAGTGACACAGTTAGTTAAAGTTACGTCTAATTCCATTCAAGATGGCACAGTCAAGGTAGTAACCAAACTTGCCTTACCCTCGAATTCAAACACTCCTCAAGGAAAATCACAAATTTCGTCCATTCTTGGTACTCCTCAAAATAAGTTTGTTGGTACAAAACGAATTTACATGGCAAAAGCTGCTGATGGTACAACTAGGGTAATTTCCGGGCCTACCAGTATTTTGCCAAAAACACCTCAACAACAAGCACAAGCAACTAACCAACAGTTACTTGCAAAAGCAACTGTGACAACGCCTCCTGTGACTCCACATGTGCCGCAGAAAGTGCAAATTTTGCGAGGACCCGATGGAAAACTGCAAGTTAGAGGTCTACTACCGGGTCAGCAGTTGGTTCAAATGCCAGATGGAAAACTTCATGTGCTCAATACTGCCCAAACAGCATCTTTAACTGGACAACAATCCACCCCAACTAGTGTTGCAACTACTCCGACACCTAATCAATTAACTGTCAAGAAACCTGTCAGTACGATTAAATTACATACCACGCCTGGCAAAACTACTCCTTTGACTGCACAGAGTAGTCAAAGTCAATCTGATACAGCAACAACATCTCAACAAAATCCAGCACAACTTCAACAAGTTATCCAGGCTAGTCAGAGGCTCAAAGCTGCTGTTGTTAATTCTGGAAATGTCACAACACCTGTAACTCAACAAAAGTTCGTTATAGCTAATACGGGTCAAGTAGTTCAGGGAACACAAGTATTATCATCACCAGGACAAGTTATTACGGGAGCTGTTAATCAAATTGTAGTCAACAGTCCAGTACTAGCTCAACAATTAGCTTCTGGTAAAGCTCAACTTGCCACTATAAATGGACAACAAGTTATACTACGAACAAATGCCACTGGAGGCAATTTGGTTCAGTTAAGTCCAGGCAATATAATCATGAGAAATGCCGTCACTCCGACTAAAACTGTTGCAGCGCAGCAAGTCACAACTCAAACAACTGTTAGTAACGAAAATCCTACTTCAAGTGTATCAGAAAGTACTACCACAACAGTTGTAACTTCGCCAACCACTACGACTACTCAAACAACACAAGCACAGCCTTCCACACCTACTGCTACCCCTGGGAATGTGGAAGCATCATTGTTACAAGGACAGCCTCCTGGAACTGTCATAAAATGCGTCACTGCTCAAGTTATCCAAACAACTCAAGGACCTCGTATCGTTTTACAAGGTATTCAAAATGCTAATTTCACACCGGCACAACTGTCCATGGTTCATCATCAAGTGAAACAACAACTGCTCAAAGCTCAAGAAAGTGCTGGAAATAAAAGTGTGATTGGACCAACTAAAATATACTTAGCCGTTCAACCTGCCCAATCAACAACAAAACCACAGCAAATTCAATCTCCTGCTCAAAATGACTTGGCTCCTAAGCCCAAAATTGTTACAACTGATTCAAATCTCAAAGGTATATTATTTAACTTTATATTTCTGTTGCTTTTAACATTTACAATAAAATTTGATAAAATTTTCAGTAGAAGAAAAAGTCAAAACAGAACCATCAGAAGTACCAAAACCCGAAGTGGCATCGCCGAATAAAACTAAAACTGTTCAACAAGACGAAGTACAAAAATCAAATGTTGCAAATGGACAGCAGCCAGTTCAAACGCCGAAAGATTCTGCTGCCAATGCATTCGTTGTCACTCCCGATTATATACAGCAAAGTAAAATTTTAATTCATAATATTCTTGCTCATGAGTTTTAATCAAAACAGTATAATGAATATTTTTAATTTTCAGCTATTAAAAATGCATTGAAACAAGAAAATCTTAATCCCGAAATTGAAGAAAAGCTATTACAATTACAAAGATATCAAGAAAAACAAATGAAGGGTAGTGATGGCACTACAGTAAGCGCTCAAAGTCATATTACACCAGTTCCTACCATATCACGAGCCCCAGCACGTAAACGACCTACACCATCCCAAAATTCTACGACACCCACTGCTTCTCAAGTAAGTGGCAATGAAAAAACTGAATGGTCAACAGAAACTCCGAAAAGACGACCTCCACCGAAACAAGAACATCGTGAAATTACCAAGTAAGAGTCGTCAAGTTTTAGTTGAACTATTTTTAGGAGTGTTAAGAATGAGTTATAAATGTATGAATCATTTTTTCCACCAGGTTGCAAAAACCATCTGAACCGGTTAATGATTTAGCCTTAAAAAATCGGGCTAATAAATTGAAAGAAACTCAAGAGCAAAGAAGAAAACAACAAGAGCAATCCAGAATGCAAGTTCTCTTGTTCAGACATAAAGAATTACTCAAAAAAGATATTCTCAAACGGCGAGCTCTACTTGAAAAAGAACTTTCAATTGATGTTCAAGTTAGTTTTTTTTTTAAATAAACTGGACTATAACCATTTCATATATTAAATAAATTATCCATTTTTACAGAAGGATCTTTCTTCTGAAATTGCTAATCGAACCAAGGCTGAAAGGCATAAACAAGAAGAAGTTAAAGTTGGCAGTGCTAAGCGAAAGGCCAATGCTCAACCTCCACAATTAATTAGTCCGACAAATAAAAACAGACCAAAGAAACAAAAAACCGGACATAACTTACCTGCAAGTAACACACCGTCAAGTAGAATGAAAAAGGAAAAGCTGTATTGTTTGTGCCGAACTCCATATGATGAAACGAAGTAAATATATATTTCATTTTTTAAATTAAAGCTTTTTATTTTGTTTTTACAATTTATAATTGTTGCAGATTTTATGTGGGTTGTGATCTTTGCAACAACTGGTTCCATGGCGATTGTGTCGGCATTACTGAAGAAATGAGTAAAACTATGTCAGAATTCGTTTGCACAGAATGCAGACATGCTCGAGATACCCAAGAACTTTATTGTTTGTGCAAGCAACCATATGATGAATCTCAGTAAGTATATTTTTCGTTAACTATTATTTTAGGGATGTACGATACAGATACATCGATACCGTTACGGCTCACTGCCTAAATATCGATACAAGTGATATTAGATTCGAAAAATATCGATACGTTCGATATGTTGCAAAAAAAATCGATACAAAAATTTTTAATAAATAAACGCAAAAATTACACATTTTTTCTTTTTTTTATTTTTAAATTGACAATATATATGAAGTATTCTACGCTCGACCAGACAGTGCGCTTGCGCGAGGCATTTATTAATGTATCGCAACTTTTCTAACTCGCCATGGCTGGTGCAATTATGACTGAAAAAATATTGCGCACATGCATTCCGATAGATTTTTATCTGTTCTTTCAAATAGTGGTATCGGTTTTTCGAAAAAAGTTAATTTTCATGGAGACAATTGACTTCAAAGTTAACTCAATTTTTCGGCAAGTATGCCCCCTTTGATTTTATTCGTAGATATCTAAATCTATAGGTAATCGAATAACGAAGGTTTGTATAAAATTTCAAGTTGGAGACTCAAACGGATCAAAAGTTATGAACAATTAAGTAGCAAAAAACGTGGTTTTTGGGCGAATTCTATCTCGTCGCGCAACTATTCTCGTCGACTCCTGTTACCCCCTCTCTTACTGGCTGAGCGGAGAGCAGCCGCGCGCCGCCAGAATTCGTCCGAAAATCACGTTTTTTGCTACTAAATTGTTCATAACTTTCAAACCGTTTGAGTTTCCAACTTGAAATTTTACACAAACCTTCGTTATTAGATTACCTATCGATTGAGATATCTACGAATAAAATCAAAGGGGGCAAGTTGCCGAAAAATTGAGTTAACTTTGAAGTAAATTTTCTCCATGAAAATTGACTTTTTTCAAAAAACGGATACCACCATTTGAAAGAACAGGCAAAAATCTATCGGAATGCATGTGTGCAATATTTTTTCAGTCATAATTGCACCAGCCACGGCGCTAAAGTATCATTCGTACACATAAAACTCGTACATGGGCATTTCTGTACACAAGTAAAAAGGGTCCAATATTTGTACATATAATCGAAGTTTTTTTTAAATTCAAAAAATTACGATTACGATTATTGTTTTATTTTTTTTTGAATTAAAAATAAAAGTTCGATTATGTGTACAAATATTGGTCACATTTTACTTGTGTACGGAAATGCCCATGTACGAGTTTCATGTGTATGAATAATAATTTGCCGCCACAGCCAGTTAGAAAAGTTGTGATACATTAAAAAATGCCCGATGTTAAAAAAAACAAAAGCACGCATATCGCATAGTAGTATATGCTGCTGCCTGATGTCGCTAATCGCTGAATTGAATTGAATATAGTTTTATTGGCAACACAAAGAAATTTGTACATAGCCACGTATAATATCGCTTACCGTCGGTTGTCTGAGCCAGTACGCGGTCTCTATAGGCATGATTGCAAATTAACTTTTCATGCCTTGCATGTATCAAAATTTTTGAAGTATCGATATACCGATACAATAAAACATAAAGTATCGATACAAAATTATCGATACTTTGTTCAAATATATCGATATCCATCGTATCGATATCGTATCGGAACATCCCTATATTATTTATTTAATTATTTGTTATTTTAATATTAATACATCTAATTTATTATTCCTCTTAATATTCAATAGGTTCTATATCTGCTGTGATAAATGCCAAGATTGGTTCCATGGTAGATGTGTAGGTATTCTTCAATCCGAAGCGGATAATATAGACGAATATGTTTGTCCTAACTGTCAGCGGAATTCTTCTGTTAATTTTGCTAATATGAAAAATCTTAATATCAAGGATGTTGAACTTTTAAAGAAACTTATCAAACAAATACAGGTAATTTTCATTCTTTTTTTATTGAAAAGTGATAAAATTTTAGTTTTTAATTTATTTAATTCTACTATGTTCTAAAATGCACAATGGTTTATATAGACTCACAAAAGTGCTTGGCCATTTATGGAACCCGTTGATCCCAATGAGGCACCAGATTACTATAAAGTAATTAAAGAACCAATGGGTTAGTATAATTAAAAATATTATTACACTTTTTTAAAAAATTGGTATAAAATTTACTTATAAACATTTTTGGTTTATCTAAAGATCTTCAAACAATCGAACTGAGGATAAACGAAGGAGTTTACAAAAAATTAAGTGAATTTATTGGTGATATGACCAAGATATTTGATAACTGTCGTTACTACAATCCGAAGGAATCACCATTTTTCAAATGTGCGGAATCATTAGAGACATATTTTGTAAATAAAATTAAATGTTTGAGGGAAAAATTTTCCGAAGCAAAATGAACATATAAATATTGAGCTTGGTCTCTATATTGTAATTATAAAATTAATTTAGGACTGTTAACGTAGTTCAACTAACGTTTATCGACGTTGCAAGTGACAAGTTGACAGTCGTTTCAGTAAATAAGTCATTTTTATATAATGATAAATGGACAAATTTATTTCTTTCGAAATAAGCTGTAAATTGTCCAAAATTTTATAAAATAAGACGGCATATGTCTGCGCTTGAAAGACCTCTTTTAAACATGCCATCTTGTGCATTCACAGACATATATACGTGTGATACATTTTTCTTTATTTTTAATTAATAAAGTACAAAATTAGGTGGTCATTGTAAAATTTCTCAACTTCATCATGTAAAATCCTACTTAACTTAATTATTAATCAAAGTAATTGCATTAAACAACAAAGTTGAATTCTGTTATGTAAAAAATTTCAATTAAATTAATTTTATTCAAATCTCTAATTTTTTTTCGAGAGTGATGAGAATTTCATATGCAATAATGTCTCATAATATTGATGGTAAAAAATATTATGAAATCATGTTTTTGCTTGAAGAAGTTGGAAAAAACAAGCATCATCAATTCTAAATATTGCGTTTATTCAAGTTACAAGTAATATATTGAATAGCATTATTTTCTTTAGATAAATTGTTTGACGAAAAAAATATTTTTATAGGATAAATAAATTCATATAAAAATTTTGTGAAACAATTTGGAAATAATTTTTTATATTCAAGCTTGTTCAATTGTATTAAATATATTTATAATTTCTTAAACATCAATTTCGAGTAAATACAAATACTTATTTTAAAATGGAAATTATAACTTAAGGTGAATATATATTTATCAAGCCCAAGGAAACCACTTGTAAAACCATGTTACACTTCGTCTTTTGTTACCTTTGTGTTTAAATAATATTTTACATGGTTAAAACTGGTAGGCTAATAGGAATAAACTGTACAGTATTAAATATGTTTATATGTAATTCATTTAAGATTTTTTAAGAGTAAAATTAATATTAATGATTTATTCAGCTTGATTCTATTAGAAAAAACCTTATCATTATTTTAAATCTCATCCAAATCGAATTACTAATTTAATTATCTTCTACTTCTAATTAAATTTTCATTTGTCATTCTTTTATTTTGCATCTCATTGAAGAATGATAATAAATTCTGAAAAAATAAGTTGTCATAGCTTACTTCTGTGTATTTGAATTTAATTATTTTTTTTCTTAAAATTATTTTATATGCTCGCAATAACAATTGTTGATTTTAATTTTATGTTAAATTCATAACAATTGCCTTTTTGACTATCGCGTCATCGAAAAAATCATTCGTACAAATACAAGCTATGGAAGCTTTTTGTTAAAATTATTTAGCCAGTACATAAACATTATTATTTTCTATTTAAAGCGCATTCAGAATCTCTTACTGTTTTTGCATGCAATATGCGTGTGGTTTCGCGAAATTAAGAAGGGTGCGTTTCGAGCGGAAAGATGGCGGTTCACCAAGGAGTTGTGAGAAGTTCTGAACAATAGTAGGTTATGGCCAATAAAAAAATTGAAATAAAAAAAGTAGTGCTAACATTTTAGTGTATAATTAAGAGACGATCAAAGCTCCATAGCTCCAGGAACACTAAATCGTCAATTTTTGTGTTTCTTGTCTTTTGCGAAAGCTTATCTAATGTCCCAACAAGCGGCAACAGAAACTGAGGAAGCTAGTACCAGTCGCGAAGATCTTATTAACGATGTGAAAAAGCTCCTATGGGGTAGCAACACCAAAGAAGACGTTTTTCGACAATGGGCACAGGGTAAGTATTTTTAACAAATCCAAACCCGAAAACTTTGGCATTATCTTTTTCCTTCGTCGTCAGGTTTTTACTTCAGTCCGGATGAAAAATCTGCTCTTGTACAAGATGAAGGTGGACCCTGTGCGGTAATTGCTCCTCTTCAGGCTTTTATTCTGAAGCAATTACTTTCGGAAACGGATATAACCAGCTGGGCTGGTATCAAGCCCGAAAAATGTAACGAACTATTGGTCAAGGCCATGACTGAAATTATTGCCCAGGCTGCAGATCCAGTTGATGCCAAGTATTCTATTGTATTAGTTGATAAATCTATGTCTACCAGTAATGGTGAAGTGCCTGACAGTCAAAATCAAATGAGTTCTGATGAACAAGTGCAAGGAAACGTTTCTCAATCTGGATCATTGTCCATTGAATCAAATAATTTTCATTCTCGTTTAAGGTATAATGGTTATTTCTTTTTTGTTGTGTACTTAGTGTCATGTTTTTAATAAAGTTGGTACATTTAGGATTCATACTTTGGAAAATATTGAGCAAGTTGAGCAATTTTTCACAGTTCATATCAATACTTTTAAAGAACAATTTGGAGTATTGTTGCTTTTGTATTCAGTTATTTGTACCAAAGGAATATCTCAAATAAAATTGGAAATATCAGATTTAACTGATCCACTAATCCACTCTACCTTTGGCTATGGCTGTCAAAGTTTAATTAATTTGATGTTAAGTGGTAGAGCAGTTAGTAACGTTTGGGATCATGATCAAGATGTTGGTGGACTCAGTAAGTTAACTGAATAATAACTTTTTATTCTCAAATCAATTATTTCTAACATCTAGGTTTTATCATTTTCAGAATTGAAAGGCATTGATAAACAGAATACTGTTGGCTTTTTGACTTTATTAGAAAAGTTGAGGTTCATTGAAGTTGGTTCTTTTCTTAAATCACCATCACATCCGGTTTGGGTATTGGGATCCGAAACACATTTAACAGTGTTGTTCTCTACAGAAAAAAAACTAGTCAGTCCTGAAACACCTGCTGAAAAAGCAAAACGAGTTTTTAAAAAATATGAATTTGATGAAAACAACTTCATCTATACTGACTCATTGCAAGATGTATTAGCAGAACTTGACCTTTTTTGTTATAGTGAATAGTAAGTAAATTGTTAAAATTCATGTATCAGGAAAAATGAAATATTCTACTAATTATCAAATTTTCTCTTCCAGTGTTGAAATAATGAAAAAGAAACTTGATAAAGATAATGATGGCATTATATTACTCAATTCTTTCATGTATGAATTTTTTCCAGAAGAAGATAGAACTTATCCAGATACATTCACTTTATATCATTACAATGGTTTACCTAGAAGTAATCCAGAGAATAAAGTGAAATATCGTAAAGGTGAAGCTATTCTACTAGAATGTACAACAAGTTCTTTTTCAGACCGTAATCCAATGTTGACAGTTTTACAAACTAAGTGGCCAACTATTGACGTTCAGTGGGACATGAATCCTAGTATTAATTAAAACTTCTCATTAGGTGTAGTAGGAAAATACTTATATCTTGGCTGTATGCAAGTAAAGTGCTGGTAGAAGAGACTGAAAAATATAACGATGCTATTAATGTTAACTCTAACATTAATTCCCACAGGCCTTAACAAATTCTTGAACCTTGCTATCTGAGGATTAGTTATGACTAATTGTAAATTGTGCTTCATGGTGTTCTATGTCTTTGAAGTGCTCTGATTTACTTGTATATTATACACATATAGACTTTTCCGTAAAGAATGTCGAAGGTTACATGTAAATTTTCACTGATAAATGTCAAATGTGATTACAGACATTTTTTTAAATGTTTCAAGGATGATTATATTATGTAACTATTAGTAGCTATTCAAGCTGTAAATTGTTACTTTTACAGCTGGAGTAACTCAAAAGAATTTATTTTAAAATTGTTTTCAATGTCAGCATGAAAAAATAATTCAGATTTTACTAAGAATAGTAAGAAGTTCTTAATGCTTTAAAAAATTCATTCAAAAACATGTTAATTGTTTTTCATTCCAAAAATTTGTTTTAAAAATATTTGTACAAATGAATATTTTTAATGATAGATAGTAGTGACAGTTAGATTTGCAAAAAATTTGATTAATTAGAGATAATTAATTTATGATAAGTTTGAAAATAAAAAATATTTCTTTTCACAAATTTGTACCTTACTCATAAAATTAAGAAAATTTATTACCTCTTCAAATTTAAGAACATCATTCTACAAGGTTATCAAAACAAAATGCTTTTAATTCATAATTAAAAATAAATTTATACATAATTCTGCTACAATTCTTACATTATTGAATGTTGATGTTTCAAAAATTTTATTTACAACTTACATTAGCAGTTTTTGATGACACACAATCAATTTTAATTAGTAAGTAAAATTTTTTTCACTGTATTTGTAAGAGGAAATCCATGATTTGGTGAACAAGTAGAATTCCAATCATCTGTATTCAACTTGTATATCATTGCACCTTTAAATTGGTTGGCTTTTATCCATAATGCCTTGAAAAAAGTAGATTAATAGATCAAACTTTGAACAATTTCGCTTATGAAATACTATCTAATTAATTACCTTTTGTTTGACACTAGTTATATCATCATACGAAATCCATTCACTGTTTTTGTATGAATATGGTACATGGCTATCATTTAAAAATACTTTCAAAGCACCATTTTTGAGAAAGTTACAAACATCTGAATATTTAACAAATCCTAATTCTCCAGTCTCACCAACACTTTTAGCTGGCGCTTGCACTTTGTGATTTGCAGGATTGTAAAGTTTATAAGAATGACCATATGTAGGAATACCAATTACTATTTTTTCTCTGGGCATTCCTTTTAACACCCAATAATTAGCGGAGAAATTTACATTTAGTGAAGTTAAATATCCTGTTTCTAAGGCTCGCGAATAAAGTGGTGAATTCAAATCAGTAACCGGATAATACCAAATGTAAAAATGATAATCATATGACATTAAATTAATAAAATCAATGTGTCTGAAATAGAATTGTGAAATTCAAATTATATAAAAATATTATTTGCAACTTAGTACGTTCAGTAAAGTTCATTGACACTTACTCTGCTAAGGATGGAACTTCATAGCTTTGATCAATTATAGCTTGAGGGGCAGCAACGGCTGCTGACAAAGTTAATTTTCTACCGCTGTGATCAAATTCTTTCCTTAATTCATATACAAGTTGAATAAATTGAATTTTCTGCCTATCAGCTTTTTGAGCCCAGCCAGGAAATTCCCAGTCCAAGTCAAGACCATCTAGATTTAAGTCTTTAGTTACATTTAATACTGATCTAATAAACCTGTATAATTGTTGATAGATTATTTTTAAGCTGAAAACTTCCAATTAACATTATTTTTACTTACATTTTTCTGTTCGAATGATTTGATACCATTTCTGCAAAACCCTCATCATTTTCAGCTCCTCCAACACTAACCATTACTTTAAGAGTAGGCGCAATTTTTTTCAAGGCCACTACTTGATGGTAAGGAGTTACATTTTTACCTATATTTAAAGTACAATTTACTACTGAAGCAAATCCTATAATAATGTGGGTACATAGGTGAGGGTCCAAATTATTTGGAAGCAATTTAGTAGTGCTTAAATTATCTTCAAACGTGTAGTAGCATACAACATAGTGTCTGTAAGAATAGTTAAAATCAGTTACTCAGAATTAATAATTAAATATTAATAAATCATAAAAATGTGTTAATAACTCTTTAATTGGCTTTAGGGTGGATTTAAAAGCAGTAGCATTTGTGGAGTTGTGGTTCCACATCCAATGCATCCAAGAAGGTACTTTAACATTATTAACCAGTTTTTCTTCAGCGATAGCAGTTTTGAAAAAGTTGTAAGTTAAAATACCAATTGCAGTAAAACCCAATAAGAAAATAATAGTAAACACAACAATGTTGCAGCAAGAAAATCTGTAATCAATTAAAATAAAATTCTGTTTATCTGTTGTTGCAATAAAGTTAAATAAAAGAAAGAATGTAAAAATGAATTAAGATGCAGATCAAAAAATAGTTCAAGTAAATACATTACTTTTGTTTTCCAGCCAGCAGAGCGTAGTCAGCCTCTGGCACAATAACTTTATGAACCATTGAGTATGTATAAAAAGTATCTAGGATTAGAAAATAAAACCACCAATTAGGCGCACAGAAACATGCGATTCATGAATAAGAAGTACAATGACGGTGCGAAGTTTCCCAGAAAAGTTTTCTTATGCTACAACGTCACACTGGCCTTTTACAATCATACAAACTGCAGATTGCAATTGATAAATTACACCTACGTTTTCATACTTGATTTATTCTTCGCGAGAGTTTAAAGAATACTTTATGTGCTCGAAGTAGGTATGTACATTAGGCAGAATGATTAAAAATAAAAATTAAAAACAAGATAAATCATTGCAAGATACGACGATAAGATAATAATGGTCAACACCTTCAGCAATGCAAGTTTTAATTTATTTTATTTATCAACCTCTCCAAGTTATTCACCAATCACCATAGGTTGAGTCGATTAAAATAGGAAGAGCTTTTGCAGTCTATATTGCGTGATTTTCCTCATTTGTAGTTTCAAATGTCACAGTACGACACCTATAATAAGATAAACTGTGCCACTTTCGAATTCGATATCTCAATATCTTTCTTGCGCATTACTTTACACACATGTGAACGTTTATTTACTTGGTTGTCACTGCAGTGAGCTGTCAAACACTGTTTATGCGGTGAGCTTGCGTATAAAGATGATGGCTCTGCATTCTGCTCGAGAGTCTAACCGCTTATAAGCACGTTTTTTCGGCCATGCGTGTCAACAGGCGTAATAAGTATATAAACATGTGACCGCGCATCCGAGTTATGCAAAGCGTCAATAATAAAATGTCAGCATAAAAGTAATTTTTAATATTGCAATACCTACTTTACTTAAAAATTTTCGCATCTGATCTGTAGTGAATATTAATGATTAAACTAATCAAAAGAAAATGAATTTACTTAAGTTCTCTGCGTGTATGAATCATGAAAATAATAAGTAGGTTGTTGCAAAAAGCAGATAAAGTCTTATATCAATAATAGGGTTTTTCGTTGCAGATTTATACTGCTTGATACCAGTATAAAATCATTTCATGCAAAACATTAGTAATTTGCTCTATTAATTATTTTTACATACTATTTTTAGTATAATAGTGAGTTGTTGAATAATAGAAACTACAAATTTTTGTTGTTCTTTTCATTGATTTTGCTAAACTTGTTCGTTAACTTTGTTTTTTATGTTCTTGGATAATTATAAAAATGTATAAATTATAATAAAAGTTGCAACCAGTCAAAGTAATTGAAATTACTAATATTTATTTATTACTATTATTTATTAATATAGCAAAAATAAGAAATGTTCAACATGTCCAAGTGTACAGAATGATCATTGTTTTTCTTCATCAGTTGTTTTATCTACATTTTTTAACAAATTTTTTTCATATTCTTGCATGCTAATCTTCAAATCTGCACCAACTTTATTCTTTGTGCATCCATTTTTAGAAACTGCTCGATGACAGGGAATCAAAAAATGGATTGGATTTGCTTTTAAAGCTCCTCCAACGGCTCTTATTGCTTTTGGATTATTAACTGACTTTGCTATTTGTTCATAAGTTTTTGATTTTCCAAAAGGTATTTTTGCTAATGACTCCCATACTTTTGTTTGAAAGTCTGTTCCTTTTAGCAATAAATTAACTTTATAGGTATCTTTAGATGGTTTCTTTGGGAATATGTTTTGAATTAACTCTTTTGTACTATCTACATCTTCAACAATTTTGGCACCATGAAATCTTAGTTTTAAAAATTTTATACCTCCAGGTTCTTTTTTATCAAAGGTTAAATGACATATTTTTTTTTCATTTTCATCTTCTATGAATGCGATAACACATTTTCCAAATGGACTTTCATGAGAACCATAATATATTATAAAATCTGCTAAGTCCTGTGATTGATCCAGGGTTGTTGTTTCACACTCAAACATTTTATCTGAAAATAGAATTTAAATATAATTGAATAATTTTCAGTACCTATTAAATCGGTTTGTGCAAAATTTATAAGATTTATATGCTTCGATGCTATTGAGCCATTAATATTGACGTAAATTCAATAGTATAACCTTCATTGCTACAACATTCATTGACAATAATTTCAAAAATATTCAAATTGTTTAATGAATGTATAAAAATTTGTTGCATAGAAATAAAATCTTACCAATTATTTGAGACCAATTTTTTATGCAATTTATAGTCACTTTAATTCTACTCCGTAGACGGTTCCTCTAAGTTTACAAACACTCGTAGCGTAATTTGGCGGGCTTCATATGTTTTTAAGGATTTGCACATCTGTCCTTATAGATCTACCCTAATAATTCGCAATTTTATAGGATTACGTAATGGACGTGTCAAAGTAAAGAAAAGTAATAAATGAATGTCTTTTAATGTTTTTCGAAATTTTCAGTGAATATTTACATCTTAAAAGTACGCGAAAGTCTACAAAACATCTGTATGATGATTATTTACATCTTTAAAAAAAAAAAATTCTATCGTAGTGTCGGGAAATAATGTTTAAAAATATTTTTTCCCTAAACTTTTTTTTCCTAAATTGGGTATAGTTATTCGAATTACATGAATATTGCAAATAATGCATGGTCAGAACTGGAGGTATATCGAGCTGAATATACTTCGTAATATTTGAATCTGTAAAGTTTTGGTTCAAATTCGTGGGAAGATTACCTTCCGATCGAGTATAAAGCTCATTTTACTTGCGATCGGTAATCACTAACAAGTACCTTGACCATTACCACCTATATATAGATCTTTGCCCAAAAAATTATTAGGTCTCTTGGTACCTTATAATAGATGGATCATGAGCGTCGAGGCCAATTTTTAAAACTTTTTTTTTTATTAAAAAGTTTTTCCAATTTTTTATCTCAAAAAGGAACGACTTTAGAAAAAGTTCAAAATTGTTTAATGTTAAATTCTATTTTTAATATTCATAAAGACGTTACACATCTTACAGCTGTTCTTATACAGCTGATTTTGTTTTAATAAAACTGATTCAATTTTAATAAAACTGATTTTTCGATTTATTCTGTAGTCAATACCTTCCGATTAATTGTGATTTCGTTTATTGAGTGTCGAGGCCGCTTGCGCGGCCTCAACTTACATTAAGTTCCGTTTCAAAACGAATTCAAGTTTAATTCAAATTTTCGATTTAGTTTTAATAATTTTGACCGATCAACACACGTAAAAACGCAATGCGCGAGCGAGAGACAGAGACGCAGAGATACACAACGCTACATTGTACGTTTCATAGAAATGAGCTCTGACTGTCGAGTACTGCTCGCCCGTGCTGTGCGTGTCGCAGCAGAAGCGAACTAGCAGTCACTCGACACTGCCTAGCGTAGACCAATCACAGCGCGAGAAGCAAACAGACGCTACTGAGACTAAAAACCTACGATTATCGCGCTCGCTCGCTCGCTCGTTTTTCACGGATTCACTAGCCTACCCAACGAGCCATAAGACGTTACACATCAAAAATCTCGTCGAAAGGGTGATAGATGGTCTTAAAAAATTAAGAAACATTCATTCGTATTTATTGACTGATTCTAAAAGTTTTTTTTTCCAAAAATCGTTCTTTTTGGTGATAAAAAATATCGAAGACCTTTTAATAAACAGGAGACTGATTTAAAAAATAGCCCAGTATAGCCCAGAAAGCTCATAATCAAATTTAGCATTGGGGAATTTTTTTATTAAGTGCCAGAAAACCCCAAAAAATTGTTGGGTAAGACTGTGATCGGTAGGTGGGGAGGTCTCCTTGTGAGTCTAACTACAAGCTGTCAAAAACGACTGCATAGCAGAAATAGTATTCAAATAAATTCGTATTTTAGTATTGAATTATTAAACAAAACAGTGATGAAACGCCAGTTAAGTTACCCTAATTAAATGTAAACAAAAATGCTCGAATAAAAGTTGAAACGGTTATAGATTGTCCAACTAAGGTATATTTTATAGTTGGTAGTTTTCTAAATTTCGTATCTTGGACTGAAGGAAAGAAGAGCACTGCAGGTGTGGTCTGAAAATTAATTGATAAAATTATGAATCTTATTGATATTTATTAATATAATTCATGTATGAATATAAATATAAATATTTACAAATTTTTCTAAGCAAACGTTTAACCACAAAATCTTAAAAAACTATAAAACAATCAACAATATTAATTTAAACAATGACAGTAAATAGAGCATTGTTTAACGCATGTTTACAAGATATAAGCAAATAGTAATGTGGTATATCCATATTTAGTTTTTAACAATTTTTTATAATTTCTTTGAAACTTTTCTTACTGTAATGATTACTTTTTTTTACAACATGTATAAAAAATGGCACTTCATATAATTTCATCATATAAATGTAATGATTCAAAATATGAATCATTAGTAATTTCTTTAGAAATTACCAACACTTCGGCTTTGTGTCTTACATTAATATGTAATTATAATAAATTAACTTTTTCACTATTAACGCCCAAACATTGTTAATAATTATTGCACAAGTACAGTATTTATTGGGAAGCAATAAAGTATCAAATTACTGTTTTGAGAATAATTTTTTCTAAACATATGAAAAAGTTTATCAGCTTATTAACTCGTATAATCAAAATTGAAAAGTAAAATATTTACATGTTTAAAATAAAAAATTGATAAAAATTTATTAATAAATGAAATAGTACTTGTTTTTCGAAACTTTGACACATGTCCTAATTTAGATAAAAATTCAATTTACAAATATTTCATTTATAATTGTTACTATTTGTTTGTTTTAATTAATAATGGACTTCATTGTATTACTTTTTACATGATATGAACTTTTTAAATGAAGTACACAACTCATTTTTAACGATTTTTGTGTTTTCACTTATTTTTTTTCATTGTTCAAATCACATCAACATTTATTGAGAAAATATAACTAACATTTTTAATATACATGGTCTTAACAATTATAGAATCATTACAAATAAAAATTATTTTAACAATTTTGTTAAATTCATTCAATTGCAACAAGTATCATACATATCAACTCATTATCTTCGTGAAAGTGATAAGCTTGCTTGTATATCTAAATTTATATTTACTCTTTCGAATGAATTTCCCACGCTATATTATAGTTTTAATCACAAAATTTTAAAAGAAACTTACATATCTACGTCAAACTATTTTTCATCACAGTATGTGTTAATTTTGCTCATTATGAAAAAATTATTCAAAAAATATTACTTTCCGATAAATATATTGCGTTATATTTGATTATAAATTATACTGCTGAGCTTCGATTTTGTAATGTTTTTCAGATTATCTCATTCATTCCATTTATTTTTTTGAACGATTAACAATCAATTCTAATGTTAAATGACTTTATACCACTAGTCCTGTAAAATGCAACTTCGCCGCTGCTCATAGACTTTCGTTATAAAACATAGAAATAGAAGTTGCAAAATTCATTACGGCACACACGTCTTTGACTCGATATACAATTCCTCCATCCGCTGAAAGCGCAAATCCGAATTCCGCACAATTTAAAATAACAAAATAAGTATTACGATTATTTCAGACTCTACTAATTAACATAAGTATTGCTTCAAACGCACATCCATTGATTATTGTCGTGGTCTAAATTTTCTACCCGGGTGATATGCTCACGCTATTGTAATTTACGCGATTATATTACGCTTCTTAATAAAATCACAGATTTTTCTTGATTATCCATCATAATTATTAAATGTATTAATAATTATTTTGACATACATCAGCATTTTACAAATGAATGCAAACAATTACAACTAATCGTTCAATATTGTCGTACCAACTCATAAAATATAAATTCATTCGTACGCCTACAAAACTTTACATTTCGATTACAGGGAACTATTGGATACCTTATACGAAATTGTTTCATACACGATGTCAAGATTGATTTAACAATATGGTAAAAAGTATTGGTAAAATTAATAGATTATAATTATTAATTGATACTCTACTACGGACATTTTTCCATCCATTATCTTTTTAGTTTGTTAAAGATAATCGGAATATGATTTTAATTTTCTGGATAAAGAATAAAAAAATTGTTATTTCGAAATTGAAAAGCTATCGATAAAAAATGATATTAGTTATCCAACCAGCGGATATGCTGGATGATTGTGGAAATATAAATTTAATTATAACTATATACAATTTATTTAGTGGACTAACCGTTCTGTAAAAATATTTACTTATAATTAAAAGTCTCTATCCCACCCAGAAAGATCATCAGGAGGTGCTACATCTGGGTCTGGCGGATATGCATCGAAATTGCTTGTATCAGCTGGACTGAGTACTTTTGGCTTGATTGGCGGCTCCAAGGTTCTTGTTCTTAACCCATCCCAATTGAATCCGTCAAACCATCTATAAGAGAAAAATTCAAGTATTATTTCAAGTTTATAAGACAATTAAAAATTTTTTTACTTTAAAACGGATTTTATACTTACTTATGCTTTTGAATTTCGCGAATACCTCCTTTTTGGTATCCAAGACGTTCGGCTGGGTTATCTCTAATTAATTATTAAAATGCATTAGTAAAATAATGACAGACTACGCAACTGATGAAAATTAACATGAATATTAAAATTAAATATTTATTTACCTGCAAAGGCGTTTTATAAGGTAACTAGCATTCCGAGTAATCATCCTGGGAAATTCAACGGAATCGATACCCTTTAAAATCATATTATAGGTTTTCATCGGATCAGAACCGGTGAATGGAGGTGTACCCGTTAAAAGTTCAAACATTAAAACACCAAGTGACCATACATCTGCGCTAACATCATGACCTTTGTTCAAAATTATTTCTGGGGCAACGTATTCTGGTGTACCACAGAAAGTCCAAGTTTTTCTGCCATTTTCCAATCGTTTAGCAAATCCAAAATCGACAAGCTTTACATATCTAAAAATTCGTTCAATAATGTATAAGTTAATCAAAGATTACAAACAATTCGAACAAAACAATAAATAAAGATAAGTATAGCGTACCCTTGCGAGTCGAGTAGTAAATTCTCAGGCTTCAGATCCCTGTAAATGATGTTCCGGGAATGTAGATATTCAAAAGCGTCAACGACGCATGCTGTGTAGAAACGCGTTGTTGCATCATCGAAGTGTCCCTTATCTCGAAGTATCGTCCACAGTTCTCCGCCCAAACATGCCTCCATAAGCATGTACAGATATTTTTGGTCTCTGAAGGTCTTGAACATTTTCACAATGAAGTCAGAGTCGGATTCACTCATGATCCTTTTCTCGGACATGATGTGCTGCTGTTGACGGGTCTCGACAACTTGGGATTTCTTCATTTTCTTCAAGGCGAATGAACGGTTGGTATCGCCTTTAATTTGTACAAGCTCGACTCTTCCGAAACCACCAACTCCGAGAGTAGTTATGACAGTTAAATCTTCCAAATTTACTTTTGCAAATTCTTCATTTATCCTGCACATTGTATTCAAATTATTATTAACTGCGTAGCGCAATAAATACTTAAAAAATATAGATAATGATTTATAAAAATGTAAATAAGTAGATCGCATAAACAAAATTAAAGTCACACGGGCTAAAAGTTGAATGAAATACATTTTTCGAAATAAAAATTATTCGTATGTAAATTAAAGAAATACTGGTTAAACGTATAGCACTGAAATGTAGAAGCCTTTGGTTGGAAACCGAAACTTCTAGTATCTTGTTTGCTCATAAGATATAATGATAATAAAGAAAAATATTTTTTCTGCTAGTAAGAAAGAGAAAGAGAAACTTACTTATCTTCAAGTGGCTTATGCCCTCATCCTTTACGTTAAAGCATGAAAAGTACAGTTAGTTTGAGATATGTTACAAAAACCGAGATTTCTACGCTTCATTAAGTATTTTAGTAAAAGCAATTTTACACATATTAACTTTTTTTTGCAATATTGCATCCTATAATTATTGTCTATGATATTTTTTTATGCAATTGCCTATGAAAGATTGTAAAACTCATCGTGTTGTATACAACTTACTTTTTCCTAATGTCTATTTCATCTTGGTATTGAATACGGATTCCATCAATCGACGATATTAGTTGGTTGAATGTTTCGCGATCAATTACCAGACAACTCACACCTTCGGGATCATCAGCTATGATGTTGGCTGTTCTTTGATCATCTCTGCAAATACAAAACGCAGTCGAATTTGTAGCAACAACAAAATTTAGCTTTACTGTCGCGAATCAGTATTTTGTCGCGTAGTATTAATTCTTACCCTTGCAGAGCCTTTTCGCCGAAAAAGTCGCCTTTCCCTAACGTTCTTATGTATTCTTCGCTAGTGGCACCAACTGGTTTAATGGTTACTCGGACCTGTCCTCGACTTATGATGAAAAACGTATCACCTCTTGCACCTTGTCTTATGATGTAATCACCGTAATTATAATAGGTCTGAGAGGAAAAATATTTTATTTGCATTGAATGTGATAAATTATAATTTAAAAACATAAAATGAACATACCTCTTCCAATACGTCGGAAATTTTAATGATGGTTTCTTCGGTAAAATCACTAAAGAGTGGAACACTGTAAAAAGGAATAAAAATGAATCAACTGTGAAGATGATCAGTATCATTTAATTCATTCAACAAAACTTCATGTACTGACCTTTTCAAAAAGTCAGTATATTCAGCTTGTTTGGAGAGACCAGTTCTCATCATAATAGTCTGGAAACATTGTCGGTCGATAGCCCACAACTGGCAATCTGTGGCTGCTGTTATGGTTGCTGTCCTTTTGCAATTATATAAAATGGCAAGTTCACCAAGAACTTTGCCCGGTGATAACGTGCTGAGGTACCGCCCGTCGCGCGATACTTCCACTTGACCCTCTGAAATTGCAAGAATTTTATAAAATTTGATGTTTATTTTGATGTTTGAATAATCTCATTTTACTTTCAATTAAAAGTTATTGAATCAAAATTAAAAGGGAAAACTAAATTAATATCTGATCTACGATAAACAAGTGCTATTGCAATCAATTTATTTTGACTTAAAACTTTATAATCGGGCGTGGCCGTATAAATGGCGAGAATTCGCTTCAAATCTTATACTGTCCTTCGGGCAACCGATACTAACCATACGAAACTTTCACACGGAGAAAACTCGCATTGTAGCTGACCCGTATTAAGCAACCTGTTCGCTTTTGTCGCTAATTTTAAAATATGGATTGATAATCATTTTAATAATCCAATCATTTCGTAATGTGCATTTTCTCATTTTTTGTACATTTTTTACGAAATCTGTGCTCGATATAGAAAAAAAATAATAATAAAAACTCACTTATTGTTCACGTCGTACGTGTCTTACATCATATCAGTATTATAAATGCATCATTAGGCACCGCATTATTTACCTAGAATTATTTTTTCGTTGTAGCTCATGCATTTCGAACACTTGTAGGTAAATGAGGTGTTATGTAAATGTTAAAAAATGTTTTGCTTTAAGCCTTCTAGTTTTTATTTATAATTTCAAACTCATTTCAAGAAGATTTTTGAATGTCGAATAGATTTTCATATAAACTAAACCCCTGAAAAAAATGAGTTTTTTTCTACCTTGAAATATGTAATGAGATTTTATAATTGTTTTGCAATCAAACAAAATAATACGTGCTTAAAAAGCGTATAGTTGCAAGGCTTCATTCAAACATTTTATCATAAAAAAGGCGTACTCGATGTAAGATTAAGCATTTACTGCAAACAATTTTTCTACTTGAATGTTTTATGCGATAATAACAAAAGAAAAAAAGAAATGCAAGAGACTTTTTTATTCAAAAAATAGAAGAGCATTATTATGGTAGTAGAAACGAATGCTACAAAGATAAATTTACACAAATGTAATGCATGGACTATGGTAGTGAATTGCAAAATTTGCACGTGGCCCAGTATCGTTGCTCAATCATATATTCACCAGTTTGCAAGTCGTTCGTGGCCTTCGTCGTGCATATTCTACTAAAATATTTTCTACACGTTATGTCGACACCATATTCGTGATAAGATCTAATCTGAGTTCATTTTGCGACTTGTATTTGATTTCTGGTTCATTTTTAAACTTTTGATTTGATTTAATAATCCACTTATTACGAAACTAGTGTTGAGAATGACAACTTTGTGGTACTAGAGTTGTTCTATAAATTATCATTTGTAGTGCTTCTTTTTAATTTCGGCACAATAGATTGCAGGTGAAGTCATAATTGCAAATGCTAAACATTAAATATATAGATCTGATGAAATATCGTTTGGAACTTCACAAAAAAAGTGTTTATTCTCAAGTAGAAAATCCGATTTTAGAAAAATTTCGTCAGGTCAATTGCATTTATTCGTACAGAAAGCACGAGTGTCGAATTTGCTAATTTTGTCCTCAAAAATCCTTCCGATTAGTAGTTGAGAAAGTTCACATTTTCAATCTTACGCTCGATCCGTTTTAAGTAAACTGAAAGTAGCTACATAATGCGTGCCAAAACTAAACCTGCATTTAAAAGTTGCGTCTAATAGCTTGAGAACCACTATGGTTAATTTATTATACAATGGTGGTAATTAATATAATTATTGGCAGTTGAAATCCGATAAGGAATTGCTTTATTTGGAACGCGGAATCGTAATAATACGCACTTATATCGACGTACACAAAGGTATGAAGACAGTAAAATTTCTGGAGAAAGTTGTTCCAGAGACTGCTTTCGAGCAAAAGTGTTTTAACTGAATACCTATACGTACGCTTCGAGAACGAGCGCAAAGAAACGGCGCTATACGATGTGGTTTGTTCGGAAATGCAGTTATTGCATTCATACATCCCGACTGCGATCTTCGAGTGAGAATTTAAGCAACATCCTTGATTTAAGGTTGCTGTGATCAGTTTTTTCTTGTTATTTTTCAAATGACCTTGAACTCATTTTGACTCGTGTTATTCGAGATATAACTCTATACGAGTGACATTTTTAATCTTTACGAATTTGAAAACTTCGTGAAAACCTCCCTTGAATCTACTATACTATTTGTAATCTAATTACTATAACTACGCTAATCATTTCTATTACATTAATTACTTGTATTACATTTGTATTATATTATTAATTCAAATATTAATTCATTTAAATGCTTATTTAGTCTGACTTTATGAATTTAATAATGATATTCATTAATTTTATTTGTAGAATTAATCATCACTTAGCCCAAAAATAAACGTCATAATCACATACTTTACAAAATGTTTAAATAAACCAACTCCACGTTCTAATTTTCTTTTAAACTAATTCGTATTGAGTATGACAATATAACAGCTGACATCCGTCAATGCTGTAGATTATTTAAATAAGTCTCGATGATCGATGCGTCGCGCCTATAAATATGTGTCGAAGATGAATGTAATAAATCGAGTGACGTAGGTACCTAGCGCATATCTTATTTATCCATCACAACCCGAGTCGAGTGGATCACCCTGACACTCGCTGGCTCATTATGCGTTTATGTGGAATCGCTTATAAACTAAACGATGTACTTTCTCCTAGATACGAGCTTGGAACAATTTTTTATCTCGTACTATATGAACAATTTTGGATAAATTTTGCTGAAACAACGCAGCGTTGGAAGATGCAATTGCAATCTAAGCTTGAATATTCAATTTTTAATTGGCCAGACTGAAGATGATCTCCACAACTTTCGCTCGTGGATTTCACTTTTAGCATATGTAAAGCAGCCTTTTTCATTTTCTTTAAATGGGACAGCGCGCTTAATGCGCTTGGTCGCCGCCGCTGCCTGGCTCTCTCGCTGTTTTGCGCGCAAAACAACATTTCGAATTCGCGGATGTACGATAATTTTCGGATTAATGTTTACGAGGGTCTCGTTAAAACAATGCTAACTGACACATCGTTATTTATTCCGATGTACGTGTTCGCTCGATCAATCTAGAAAATCGACAGATGATTGTTAAATTTCGCATGCAGGTGAGGTAAAGCAATTGCGAGCGGTACGGTGAATGGATTGGATAGGTCTGTGGTAACGCGAAATACGTAAAATGTGGCCATCAACCTCCAGACAAAGTCGTAATATGTAACAGGGTCCTGGGATCCGAGTATTTCGCCGTTTTATAATGCGGACAATAGCCTCGAACGGTCTATACGAATATACAATACAACATAAGGTGAGAGCAGAAAACATTTATACGGCCGTAGAGTAAATGCTAGAAAGTATCGTCGCGTATACATGTGCGAACGCGAGACAACCTGACAGTCTGATCGATTATGTCGCAAAACTTCTCGTGAGTGGATTTCCTTTTTGTTATTATACTCGGGTGCAAACGTGAATGTGAACCGCTCGCATGGTATAAATAGCCGCATATATAGTACACATAACGTGCGCGCAGGAATACAATAGCGACGATGAGTTCAGGGATTTATACGAAAAAAATGTCAAGCACAGCCAGTAAAATGTTTTCTTTCTCGATTCAGCTTTTTAAATGTGTCACACGGATTCGCAGCGAGACACATAAAAGGAGACTCGAACGAGAAAGTAGAAAAAAAGAAAAACACGATGGTAAAAAAAAAACATGGCTAAAGCTCGCAAATAACACACAGCCTCGCGTAGATTGTAATTCAGTGCCTCCTTGGCAGGGCGGGAGGTATTTCTGGCGTCCAGGAAGCACAATTGCTCATCCTGTCTTTGGATGGTCGAGGAGTATCCGCGTGCGCTTTCTCAGAGATCCGAGAGAGAGAGAAAGAGAGAGGAGAGCAGCGACTCGAGCTGTGCGCAGCTGTCGAGGCATCGAATATCCTGCACGCGGCCGACATACCAAAGTATTACGCACGCACCAAGAGTTTCATTATGAATACAGGAGACACATATAGCTCGCTCGCTCGCTGATATTTCGCTTTCGTTTTGGTCCCATACACGGCTATGTGCTCTCCGACCTCTCGACCGCGCGCGTAAAAAAAAGTTGCACTTGCAACTCTCGTGACCTGCTTGTTCTTCGGGGCTGCGATGAAAAAAAAAAGGAAGAAAAAAGTACGTTCGGGCTATATAAAGAGCAGCAGCAGCAGCCGCGCTGCGTGCAATAAACGAACGTAGCTCACTTGGGAAATGCGCGCATTCGAGAGCCTCATGGAGTGCAGCACTACACGGCTCGAGAGCTATTCTCGCAACGGAAACTCATTCTCGCGAATTGACTTGGCCGCGCGCGCGCTCGAGGCAAACATTTTTCTCATAAACTCATTGTACGTAGACTGCTGCTCGGGCTGAATAGCAGTAGTATATACGGTCGCGAGCGAGGAATTGCACATTACATCTCGGCGAGGCGGGTACACATCTACTGTATAGAGCCGAGGCGAGATTCCTTCGACATCAGCAGCAGCAGCAGCAAGACAAAGCGGCTGAATCACTGATCGTAGAGGCGCTCGTCGGGCCTCATAATAAACATTTTTATTATATATTATCGTATACGACAACACCCACGAATCGAGCTACGAGCGAGTCATGGCATTCATGATCACTATAGCCGCGCGATGAGCGCAGACGCGATTTCGATCGATGATTCCATTGTAAAAATTCGACCGGGCTCTATGAAATAATAAAGCTCGGAAATAGATCCGACTCATCGAACACGTTGGATGTCACTTTCTCACGTGTCAGCGTAATACATAAACAATTATGTACCTGGCCTGACGTGACTGGATCGGCAGGAGCGCGTCCGAGCGGGCTGGGGCGGTGCTCCGGTGCGTCGCTGACGGGCATACGAGTGAACCGGCACGATCAAGCGCGGCCTCGGTATCCAGAAGCTGTCGGCGGTGGCGGCGACTTTGTGGCCGCTCGTCCGCCAGCATCCCGAAGGACGCGGCTCGCTCTCGTCGTTGTACTCCTCCTCCTCGTCGACTGGCTCGGCAAAATCGGCAATTTCGCTGGCCTCGCTGCCGCTGTCGCTACTCGAGCTAGTGCTAGCACTGGTGCTGGAGCTCCTGGAGGCGCCGCTGCTCGCGCTGGGCACCGGACTCGCCGGGCCCGAGGAGTCGGCCGGCCTCGTGGCTACCATCCGAGGTCGATCGCGCGTCCAATTCAAACCGCACTCGCGCCAACTGGCCTCGTAGAGCAGCTCCATGGCGCGTCCACGGCAGGCGTCCGAGTCGGCCAAAAGCTCCGGGTCCTCGGGGACCGCGCGGCCCGGATAACCGCGCACTTTCATCGCGCCGCTACGAGCCGCACATATCGCCGCGCGCACAACGACTGACTGAGCGACTCAGTCTCTCTCTCTCGCTCGATCTCTGTCCGCACACGAGTCTTGTGTGTGTCTCACAAGTCCCCTTCTGCTATACGCCGAGCCGCACGAGTCTCTCTATACTCCGTCTATAGGCCCTCTTTGCAATCGCGAAGAGAAAGGCCAGCGGCTCTCGGATTGCACTGCTGCTGCTACTGTTGGTCGTATAGCTTTTTCTGCTCGCTGCTTTGTCGAGTAACGCCTGCTGATTGCTGCACGCCATGTATACACAGCTTCCTCCCTCTCTGTATTATAGGTATACGACAGCGCCTTGCAGTGTCTTTCTTGCTTTTGCTGCATTTGCGTGTGCGTTATACCTTAACGGTGCGCGGCGTTATATCCTGGAATTATCGTTTTCCCCGATCGACCAAGGTCGCTTCGCTCGACGTCACTGCCGATTCGCCCGCGTGTGTTTCGCTGCGAGCTTTGTTCGCTTCTCACCGCCTGCTCATGCTGCTGCTGGCTCCTTTCTCCTCGTGGAAAAAACGCCACAGCTACCACCGCGTGCTAATGAATCAACTTGCCGCAACCTTCCGTTCTGCGTTTATATATATGGATTTACGACTTTCAAGTCCATGGACTTTTACGTGGCGCGCCAATAATATACGAAGCGATCGCTCGATCGGTTTCGATTCGTATACAACGACTGCAGTCGGCTACCGCTTTCCAACAGGATGCTTGCGAGGCCCCCGCGACGTCTGCCGCACTCGGTGCTCCGCCCTCGCGGCTCCCGCCGATCGCACGCGTGAGCCAGAAAATCACGTCCCGATCGGTGTCTTGGAGAACATAACAAAACCTTTGACACCTCTGGCGATCGACGTGCCGCTAGCTCGACGAAACTCTAGCGCGCGTTTCACTCGTCTATGTGTGCGCAAACATTTTAGTCTTTCGATGATTGCCTGAATAAACGCAGCACGCGCCAGGCTTTCTCTCTATCTCTCTCTCTCCTTCTCGCTGCTCGATTTCCTTTTTCTTTGCCTCCGCTTAACACATATATCACGAGCCAGCTGCAGGTCGCGCCTGATTTCTTTTAACTCGTACGCTCCACACATTTATATATTATATATACTTGCGTGCATGCGGGAGTGCCATAAAAATCTCAACGATTAATTCCTGTACTTTTATACCCATGAAACTTTTCGATATTTCACTCTGTTGTGTGCAGCAAAAAATTGCAAGCGGTTTCACATCCTCGCGAGCTGTTTACTCGGCTATACTTCCGTGGCACCTATCCGCTAAAGCACACTGGCATCCGGCAAGATCGCAATAATCCTTATACTTTTTCACTTAGATCGTGGTTAATTTTATTACCAGCTACCGCCTACTTATATATGAAAAACTCATAATCACCGAAACTTCCTTTTGGCCACTAGTTACACATTATTTAATAATAACATGCAAATTATTTTTTCCCTGCATAATGATCACTATAATATATTTTCTTTCATAAGAACTAAGGTTTTATTAGACTAAAAAACGTCTAAGCAAATTCTTATAAATTTGAAACATTAAAAAATTCGATACTTTACATGAGTAAAATTTAATTTAAAAGTTTCAAATAATTAATACTTACTCTCTGATACGTATACGATGGAACCAACATCTCCTTCTCGAATAATTACAGTGCCAGCAGCAAAACTCACAGGGTACATACAATCAACGATTTCTCGTATTTGAGTGAGCTCCAGATTTTTCATAAAGTCATTATCTAATATAGCTGCTTTAATCAGTTCGCGTGATCTGTAATTCGAACCAAAACATTCTATTAATAGCGCCTTGTTAATTTTAAATAATAATTGATAATAATTATCAAATTCTTCTATAACTGGAATGTTTTTTGATTAGTAAAGTAAAATTGCACGTTTATATATTTTCGTTCCGTAGATTTTGAATTGAAAGTGTAATGAAATATTTCAAAACATCTTTAAGAATGATTGAACAAAATAAATATCAAAACATTCGAAAACATATATAGCACATAAATACATATGTGCACTGTCATAAATCTTTTGAAGCTATTTGTCTGAACTGCGTTATTATACTTTACTTGACTTTGTTTTGTTATTATTTTTATTCTAATGAATTTACATCCAAGCAATTCATTCTTCCAATGATTAATGATTAAGAAAAATAATCTGTTTCGATTTTTCTAAGAAATAATACGAACGTCGAAATTTGTTGACATTTCGAATGAATATTTGTCATAAATGTAACACAACAGTAAAAAAATTGTTACACTTTAAACTTTTTTTCTTCGGGATAAAAATTAGTTTTCCTAATTCGAATTTGATTGTAAGTTTGTCATTTATGATACTCGTAAATTAATCTTCGATTGAATTCCTGATAGCAAGTATTCATTTTAAAAAATATATGTGAACTGCAATTTTTATTATGAAAAACAATTAGAAAATGCAACACGTTATCAGACTATTCAAGTATTTTTACTCGCTGCATAGGCACTTACATAAAGGCCGCAATAGTCGGCGCGCGAATGTTCAGAAAACATATTAGTATTGGTGTATTATTGCGTCGCAATTCAATATATAGTGCCGTGCAATGTATACAGTGTGTAAAGAGCTCGAGTCTTATTTTGACTCAAAATGACACAATACATTGAAGAAAGTACACGTGTACGTATGTTCAGATCGTGCGGACTTGACGTTTTTTAACAGACGATATTTTCGTATCGGTAGTCATATAAATATGTTTTCAATTCTCGCTGATTAAACGCCACTTTTAGATAATTAAGAGGCCAGCCAAGTAATAATATTCGAAATTATTTCAAAGTCGAGTGTATGTTTTATCGGACAGATTTTCAAGTCCAAGTTATCGTTTATTATTAAAGGTACAAATCTAAGTACTTGAAAAAAGTAATAAACTGAGAGCTTCACACGTAGCGATGGATATGTTTGTTTTGATGAAAACTTGTTCGTATCATACGTACGCCTCTAATCAAGTGGTTTTCTACTTATAAAAATTGAACGAGTGCAAATTTCCAATAGACATTGAAAAAATTTTTTTGCACAACAAAATTAGCGCAGATTAATCGCGATAACAACTGGCAGATATTGCAACGATAGGCCTGAGCGATCGAGGAAGCATCAGTGGCAGCAACGCAGCAGCGAGTTCGATAAAAATTGATGCAAACGCAAAAAGTTGATCCGCACGAGGATAAAAGGGTACCTCTGAGACTTGCTGAATTTTTGTATGGGCTGGGTATCGATGTGCAGCGGCTCGGCGGAAATGGCCTGGCGCTTGAGCCGCTGGGCAGGATTGAGGGGGCCGGAAGAGACGACGCCGTGATCGACTATCTGGCGAAACTTGTCGATTTCATTTTTCAGATAAAGTATGGTGTCTTCTCGTTCGTCGAGCTCTCTCTCGAGCCTCTCGATGGTCTCGTCCTTGCTGCGCAGAGCCTCGGTGCGCTCGTGCAGCAGATGCCGCAGATCGCGCGTCGATTCCATGCCGACGTGGAATTATTCGACTCTCACAGAGAAGCTGCGCACACAGAATATCGTCCCAAAGAAACAATAACCAAGAGATAGACGGAGAAAAGTTACGGCACAGTTGCAGTAGTCGCGTACAGAAAAAAAAACAACACGTCGCGGCCTAAGGAGTCATCGCTGCTCGCTGCTCGCGCACGATCGAATCGAACTAATCGACAGCCGGCCGAGGAGAGCGATAACGATCTACCGCCCGTGCGGCAATACTGTCGCGGCCGCACAAAAAATTCGTCGCTGGCCCAACGTCACAGAGGAGCTCGCAGCGAGCCTCGGTCGTTATCTGGCCTTATCTACGCGCGCGCGCGCGAGCGACGGTGTGTGCGCACCGCAGCTGCGCACCGCTACGCAGGCACGACAGGCAGGCACGAGTCGCACGAGACGAGAATAATTCGCGGTCCGCCTGTGACAATTCTGACGAGCGTCGAGCCCAAACAGCGCTGCTGGACTGTGACGCGAAAAATCGTCGGCCGGCTGTCGAAACGATCGAGCTGGCGCGCGCTCATTACGGCACGCACGGGCTGCCCGCGGGCACCTACGCGACGCGCATATATTTGTCTGCGATCGCCGTATCGTACGTGGGTGCGCGTATAGTCGACGTCCGCCGAACGCGACATGTGGACTCGGCGTATTTTACTGCTGTTTTTTTTTCTGCGCTACGCGTGACTCGCTCATCGTCGTCGTCGTCACGCCCGCGCGGAGCTACCTACTGGAAAAGCTCGCGGAGCTTTCGCGGCGTTGCAGCGGAGCTTGCACGTAGGCGGCACGTGCAGCTGGCACCCGCGCCACTGCGATCGATGATCGCTTCGGGCGATGACGCCGGCGATGATCTGCTTATACTCAAGGAAATATGGCCGGTCGATCCGTTAGATGAGTTATGAGGCAAATTATCCAAACAAAATAATATGGACTTGGACGTGGCGCACGAGCGAGCGCGAGCCGCCCCCTTCGGCCGTATCGAGCTGTTATTAGCCTTTGGCCGACGCTATACACCTACTCTACGTAACGCGCGAGAGCTCGTAGACGTCGTTTCCGTTACTTTCCGCGTTTATTTTTAATAAATATATGCGGTCGTTTGTTTTTTCAATAAACATTTTCGTTGCCTGCATTTTCTCCTCGCTCGCTCCTCGCCGTTTCGATACATCACCCCCGCCAAACTCGACTGCACTATTCTCTGACGTTCGATGCGCCGATCGCATTTTAGGAAGCGAGCAATGACGCCAGCACAAATACTTCGCGGGCCTGCAGTACTGCAGCTATACCTATCTCGCTTTTTCTATCTCTCCTCTCTATTCATTGCCCGCTGAACCTGCTTCTCTATAAACTCGACGGACTGTAGTAAATTTACTCACAATTCCTTTTAAGGAGATCTGGACCTCACGTTTTTATCGACCGTGACACCAAAGTTTCTTTTTTTTTTAACTTTTTCTGTAATTCGAATTTCGACAAATGGCTCTATGGCGACCTTTATTTTGTCGCTAAGAATAAGCAGTTAAAATTGCAGCCCATTCCATTGAGCAGATTTCCCGGAAAACTGGATTAAAATTTTTGATCCTGACTTTTGATCCATGGCTTGATCAAAATTTTCAATCCAGTTTTCCGGGAAATCTGCTCAATGGAATGGGCTGCAATTTTAACTGCTTATTCTTAGCGACAAAATGAAGGTCGCCATAGAGCCATTTGTTGAAATTCGAATTACAGAAAAAGTTATAAATAAAAGAAATTTTGTGCGTCTCGGGCGGTAAAAACGTGGGGTCCAGGTCTCCTTAAATCGTTATTCAATAGTCTACTAATACAGTCGACTGGCTTTATGCTGTACACTAATTCGATAACGATCATCTCATTGGTATACAGAGCTCTTCAAAACTAACGAGAAACGAACAATAAAATCTATAATCTATCATTACTGTACTTCAAATAGGAGTACTTTTATTGCCCGGTAAAGAACTCGACCGCGGTAATTGTTCATTCTTCTTTTTATGTACATTAATCTTGCACTTTTATTTTAAAATATCTTCCGGTGCATCAGTAAGTTTCCGCTTTCTTTTTGCCAAAATTAATCTGCCAAAGGCCTTTACTCAAATATTCTGTTTCTTATTTTTGGACGACTTTAAAATAATAAATTAGTTGGTTAGTTTTGTGAATATTATTGCATCTACAATGAAAATTTTCATTTCAAAGAACTAAAATATTCTTAAAAATTCTACACGTACGTCGCGGCAACTCGGTCTTAATTAAGATACTTGAGTATTATTTCATCAATATGATGTATGTTTACAAGTCTGTTGAAATTATTAATACATAGATGCCTTGTCAAGGTTTATGATCGTTATGGCGGAAAAGTTAAAAATGCCGAACAATAAAATGATTACTTTGTGAGTTTAAAATGAACTAATGCTGCAAGTCATGCATAATTTCATCAGGAGAAATATTAGACTCGAGTATCAGATTGAAAACTGTGATGGATCTATTGTTCAAGAACGATTTAGACTTGAGGCGATCCGTAGTCCCGGTAAATAATAAAAATGAAAATTTTCGAATGATTTCTTTTGAGATTTTGAATAATATTTTTGGAGTGGACTATGAAATTGTTTTCATGTTGGCTTTTTCAATAAATCTAAATGAATTTTCTACATATTTTTCAATACTCTTCTAATTCAATTGAAAGAAAAAACTGTTTGCATGGTTACTTCAAAATTTTAATCAATTGCAATTTGAGTGCAAATTTACATATTAATTGTCAAGCATCGTATATATTTTCTTCAATTGTCTTCATGCTTTATTAATTTTACAAGATTCATAAAGTTGAATGTCATTATGTTTATTGTTGCCTTGCGAGCTAAAAAAAAAAGAGAACGACAAACAATTGAAATACGACGAAGATATAAATAAGCTAAATAGTACTTGACACGTTGAAAGTAATGAAAGGCTTTTTGAAAAGCAATTGGCATTGGGCATTGGCGCGGTGACAAGAATGTATTTGTTAAGTCGGTACGTTGTTGCCTTCTGCTCGCGATAAACGAAAAGACAAAGGGTAAGCGGAGCAAATCGAAAAATCAGTCAGGCCCGCGACGATCGTTGGTAAATCGTTATCGACAGCCGCTATGGGATGTGCAGGTACGGCGATGCGATGCACAGCACAGCGTTGCAGCAGAAAGCGAGTGAGGATCGAAACCGCGAGGTAGCGCCATCGTGCCGAGGCTCGGCTGTCTCGCATCGCTCCGACTTTCGACCTAGTCC